GCTTCGAGTAACAAAGACCTATCAATATCCAGACGGGAAACAGTTCATCTACAATACTATTTAGTTTATTTTTTATGTTTTGTTACCATTCTAAACTCAAGGTTAATTGTTAAGCGATTATCCTCTTGTTAATAATCTTATTGGATTTGTAATTAGAGGTTATTAAACTAAATGAATGAAATAAACTACGCCACTCATGTTTTAAAATCAACAAAAACGATAAGTATTATTTGTTATGTCTACGTTTAGTTTTATTAACTACATTCATAGACATATTTTATCACCCATATCGAAAATGATTCACATAATTACATCACTATTATTTGTAAACGCTTCATTTGTTATCAGTTATAATTTATAATATTCACTAATCTTTGCTTATCTGAAGTTAGTTCATTTACATCGTTAGAAGCGAGACGGAAGATACACGAAAGCAAGAGAACAAGAGAGAAACATGTCCAATGTCTCTTACGTCAGTTGCACAACTAATTGCTAACGTCAAGTTATCAAAAAATTGTTTCGTGAATAATAAAGCTTCTCAGTAATTATTACACTGATATGATATCGTCCATGAATTGTTGTTAACTGCACTTTATCTTTACTAAGGATATTTGAATCTTCCTAATACCCAATATAGATTAGTAAAGTTGTACTTACATCAACTAAACTTCTGCCTAATCCACCTATGCCTCCTCTATTGGCCGCCGGACAGATACGCACGAACCCCTGCCGCCCTCAATCAAGGCTCTTTACTCTTCCTGTCTACCCTACGCAGTCTTTTGTCTTTTGTTTTATTCAACTATGGATACTCCAATTTTCGTCTGTTCATCCGATTTGTTTCTATTCACGAAAGTTTATTTTTTATTTAATGATGTTTTAAAAACAAACAAGTCAACATTCATTGACCATTTTATTACTATCTTGACAGAACGTATTATTAATGTTGTCGATAAAAATGCAATCTCTTGACGTGACCGCAGATTAGGAAATCCATTAAAAAGATAAATTGATGATTGATACAATTGTATATCAAAGTGAATGTATAATAACAAATTTGTTTAAATTTAAAAGAAATTTAAACTCATTCAGTTATTTCAGTCGTCACCCTTTGCTATTATTATTTGTTAAATAACTTAAATTGTAACTGGTTACCTTAACGCGTTTACTGCGGCAAGTAAAATCATAATTCTTCATCTGGTGCGGCGGCAGGCCTAAATGCGCCCCCAATGATACTACCGCCAATGCGTGGCAGGTTTTTCTAGACCCACCAGCACTAGGATAGATTAAATTGCTATAACTTTGTGGAAACATAATGTAAATGTATGTAAACATATCTCAGGTGTATAAATAACATTTTAAGTTACGCAATGTATACACCTGAGATAAACTTTTCGCATTAGTGAGAGGGATATAGTTTTCTTCGTCCGCACCAGCATATACCGTAACAGGCCGATATTCGCCTGTTACGCAGTGAGCATGTTAATAAATTCTTTGAGTTAAACATCGTTGACAAATTGTGCGTCTCAACGTAAACACAACATACAATAAAACAAGATAATGTCGTGGAATATTTCAGTATTTTATTGATACCAGTTATCAATATCCGAAGAGTGAAATTTAAACCATAAATCATGTGCAAATTGACGTCATTGATTGCAGTTTTATTTAGGTGCTTTTCATTTTTTTTTACAATGAACCTTTGAACGTCTATGGTCAAAGATTTACAGATTCAAAAACAGGGTTTTGTAAGAAATAAATGAAACAACTTTTTAATTCTACTATAAAATGTATTAAAATCGAACGTTAAAAAAGTTATTTATTCATCATCTGTAACCAACCAGATATCACAGATCAAAATAACTATAAAACTACATTGCAAAGAATTCTTATAGCAGGAAATAAAAGAATGCTACATGTTTAAATTGAACAAAACAATCGAAACTCTCAAATTGACTTATAAAAATACACAATCACATTATAAATTAACTTAATTTAAAGTACCTGCCTTAAAACAATTATAAAAAACTTAAATTATTTTTATAAATGTACTTGTAAGTGTGAAGGTATACTTGTGTAAAGGTATTTTTAAACTCACATTAAAATAATTTGAATAATTCAGTCACCCATAATAAAACAAACATTTCATATTACTATTATACTCGTAAATGTTTATCATAAAGTATGTAAAAAGTGTCATTATTTATTTTATCTTCTATCGAGTTATTCAGATATAACACAGACGTATCAAACATTTTTAAAGTTAATTCTAACAAACATACCAACATTATTTAATCTAGATTAAAATTGGTGTGTGCTAATTAAAAAAAAATAACTTATATTTGGTAAAAACAAGAAGGACACTTTTTAAAAGTAAATCTTAAAATTGAAACTATTTTTAATCATAACGTGTTTCTACGATAATTCAATATTAAGACATTAACGTGACTAGCTTAAATCACAATAAATTATAGATTAAAATCACTTAATTAATTGCTTTCCAATATCTTTGCTCCCCATTTGTTACTTCTAAACTTATTATGATTTCGGGCGAACAACCGTAGTTCACCATAGAGGGAGGTACTCAAATATTTACAACTTTCAATATTTACAACGCAGCACTTGGCGTGTTATTATAATCTTTGCAATAAATTCACTTGCCGTTCGACAGCATTTTGAATTGCTTTCAACCAAATATTTTAATTCTCATCATATTCGGGTAAAGCCGGTAAACGCAGTCGTCTTTGGCGCCTTTTTCGGTGAACGGTTTTAATGGATTTTTTGAGCTCCATATTGCTGCATTCCTTGTCCTCCGGTAATGGCGGCAAATTGCGTTTCAATCGTCTCGGCAGGACACATTCAGTTTCGAAATTGTTGAGCTCTTTAATTCTCAACATATCGACGTCGAAGAAAGCACGTTGTAGCGGGAAAGAGATTTTCACCAACATTGTCGCTGATAAAATATAACGCGAGGAAACACGTGTAACTGCTACGATGTCGTTGAACCAACTGTCGCGCGGCACAGGGGCGGGCCGGGGACAGAGAACGCGCATGCAAGGCGACGATAGGTCAACATTATTTTTAGACAAACACTTGCATTAAACAAAGATTAGTGAGTTTACCGATTGTATGCAATATATTGAACAGGGAATAGCGCCAAATGTGTTATCTGTCCTCTTCTAATGAAGGTTAAATTCACTAAAAATATTTAAATAAAAATAATGTGTGAATATGCGAATGGTTAACTTGTAATATAAAAAAAGCAAGTGCAAAGATGAGAAAAAAGAAATAAAACATTCTCGAAGCTTAAAACACTCGTCGTCATGATAGGGATTGACGTGTTTGGTGTACCGTTTTGAAAGTAAGGAACATAAAAGCTAAAATCATTAAAAGTAGTTTTATTCTCAAGTGCAGTCCCTAACTATAAGAAATCATGATAAAGTTATAAACAAAATCTTCGTATAAAACAATAGAGGTACACATAAAAAATAGCAAATCTTATTTGCCTTAGCCAAGGTTAGTGCAACGCATACGACATCTTAAAGAGATTACTGCATCGTCTGATTTCAGACAAAAAGTGATTTATTATATTTGTTCTACGTATGAATTACGTAAACATTTTCACTTCATGATCGACTGGAAGATTTAGAAATTTAGGTAAAATAATAAGATAATAGTTGGATTTGCATAGTAACTATCTGAAAAGAGAAACAAGACTCAACCAAAACAAATAGTTCCTTCTCTAAGCAATAACAAAAAACATAAATCTAATTATATTCTAGGTGTTAACAGATCGCAAAATGTCAAGATGCCAAGTAAAGCACGTTGTAACGCATGCTTCCGAATTACTCATACCACTTCGCCGGCAATTAACAATATTATATTGCCACTACATTAATCTTAATACAGATCTTAAATAACATTTATATACAAGCTTTATGTAGTCTCATAATTCATTCAAAACTTTATTTTGCACAACTGGTCCAACGCTCTTGCGTCTTATCTTAGCCGAGAGATTTTTAAGTTCAATTGATACTAAAACTATCAGAAAAGAAAAGAGATTACTGAAATAAAATTGAAGAAGTCTTTTTTTATAAGAGAAGGAGGCAAACGAGCGGCGGGAACACTAAAGTGGTCAACGACGCCCATGGACAACCGCAACAACAGAGGAACTACAGATGCGCCGGCCTTTAAAGTCTAAAGAAAAAATTCAAACGAGAAAAATTATCGCTCCAAATCAATCAGGCCACAGTCCAGTTCGAGACAGCAATAAGCTTTAGCATTAAATTCCGAGGTTTAAGATTTAAAGCCTAAAAATTTAGACATCTATCCTATAAGAAAGATGACACCTATGTCATGTAATGGTACTTACATCATGCAGTGTTCAACAAACAATAGCTGATCATTAAAGCAAAATAAACCTTGTAAAATAATACGTTACTTGTTACTTGTCTTTAATAGCCTCATTCGTTACATCATAGTGAGGTCATAGACCGTGAATCGAAACAAAATATAGTTCTATTTGAAGATACGCCCCTGTACAAAATGCCACTTGGTCATGCAACGGAAAATATAGTTCAACATCTCAATCCAAGTGGACCAAACCCTACGCTGATTTGGCAACTATTGAGACTGTTACTTGCCAACTTCCGTAAACAATCATCGTATCAAATAATTCATACTTGACCTTATTATTACACCTAAAGACTTTAACCTATTGCTACGGAAATTACGTTACTTTTAAACGATAGACCTAATACAAATCACCGAACTATCACTTAGTTCAGGTTCAGAACAACGAAAAAGTAGACACTTTTCATAAAAGTTTCATCAAGATCATGGGAAATGTTTATTTTCCGTGAGATTTTCCCCTTTTTTAAGGTATAAGGTAAATGTAATAAAAGACGTTTCATCAAATACATCTATAAGCTTTATGGTTTTAGATTGCCTAAGTTTAATTCTTAATAATCTGTGGTCATCAAATGACAGATAACCAAAATGTCGGAATAAAATACTGTCAAAATCAAATGCGATGGCAAAGTGACGCTATCGTTTCCAACTTTTTGTTAAAGAAATACTAATATAAACATACAAAGGATATTGTTTCTAAAGTCCAATTACATTTTTATACCTTACAGGTAAGATATTGTTTAAGTAACTTTAATTGATTTAAAGACACGCCGGCATTAAATCTTTGTGGTATCAAGAATGGTTATTGAGCCTTGAGTACCAATGTTCTGGTTTTTAAATGTCAATATGTTAGTTCTGTTATTAATGTAATAATGCAAATAAAACTTGGAAATTATTGTTTTAAATATGTTTAATTTAACAGCTCTTACAATTTTAAAAAAGTCGCTTTGGTTTGCATTGTTTATGCTGTAATAAGCAAAAGTGGCACTGTTGCAATGCAACTTGCATCTTGGGGTTAGTGAGTTTAGAAGATTGTAAATGGATCACATTAAGATAAAGGTCGGGTCTTAACCATTTCCCACCATTCCTAACACTAAATTAAACCTTAACTTATTGTCATATAATAATCAAGTCATATCTTACATGTTTGTTTTGTTTTTTTAGGTTGAGTTCTCCGTATGGCAACACCAGGTTACAAACAGAACATATCAATGTCTATGCCAAGTCCGCAGAACAATCCGCGTTTGTATTTTTCCTTATTTAAAAATCCCTAAACAAATATCTTAGTTTATTTTTTATTGAAATATGATATTTTAATGAAATATTTATAATTAGATATGTATGTTATAGAATGTTGTTAGTTACTAACTGAATTTAACATGAAAGTGCTAGAGTCCTTGCAATGCAAGCTTAGCAGGTTCTGTACTTCTTGGTATTGCTGGTAACATTTAACCGCAGTATCAAAACCAGCATGCTGCTCTCTACGCTTTATCTCGTCCGATTGTTTGCATCTGCAACTTGTTCTCTTATGTTTTTCTTATAATTTTTATTATTCTTTACGCATTAGACTTATATAGTTCTATTTTGTTGGTTTTGTTTCATGTTATATTATGTTGAAACAGACTACATGATTGCGGGACCCCCAATGAGTTTCGGTATGATGAAAGGTAAAAATGAATTTATTTAGTTCTACTATTCAAAATTTTTTCACAATCTCATCCTATTCGGATTTAGGTACTTTATGGGGTATAAAAATTTAATTCACACACAAAATTTTTCCGTTTCCAAAATCACATGCATACATTCTTACACTACTTATCTATTCTCTGCTGAATTAGTGCCTTAACAATTACTAGCTGTTACTGACTGCTCGCTCAACCTAATACTAAACACTGATTAAACAATTTTGGATTTAGTGCATTTATGTTTTTTTATCTTTTATTTTTGTCCTCGCCTCCCTCCTGTCCTATCCCCTTATGCTTTTTGTTTTTTTCTTTCATTGTATTGCCGCCCCGCTGCTTGGCTTGAAGGCGGTATGAATGCACCGCCACATAACCAATACCAGTACCACCCGCAATACCAAGGTGGGCCAGTGTCCCACGGGGGCTTCGGAGGGTGGCCGCCTCCACAACAACCGCGTTTCGCTGCAGAGAATGCAAGGAGAGCCACCTCGGGGGGCGGGGGCGCCACCACGCAGGCCTCAAAGGATGATAAAACCAGTCCATTTATATCTACCGTGCATTCACATCCTGGATTTCAGCCACAAAAGATCGGAAAAGGATCTGGTGTAGTATGTACCTTACTATATTAATTCATTTACTTGCTAGTAAGTTATAATATTATTTGAACAAATGTTACTACTACATAATACTTACTTCTGACTTACTAATATAATAAATGCTACATTTTGAACCTTTGGATGACTTCCACAAATCTCAATGAAGACAGGCAGAACACATAGGCTAGTTTTAAGTTTTATTTATCCACAAAGTACCAGGAAAAAGTTGTTGTATTAATTAATAATCATTTTGTTATATTGATAATTGTTTACATATATTTATCTAAAAATCTATCCTACACAGGGTTCTTCCCTACCAAAGCCACCGAAGGCTCCGGAGAAGCCACTAATGCCGTACATGCGTTACTCTCGTCGTGTCTGGGACAGTGTGAAAGCTGCTCACCCAGATCTGAAGCTATGGGAAATTGGCAGAATTATCGGTGGCATGTGGAGGGATTTACCTGAATCGGAGAAAGCTGGATTTGTTGATGAATATGAAGCTGAGAAGGTAAATTAATATTTTAATGTTTTATGCAATACATGGACATGTGAGAAACCTCTATTGGAGGGTCATGGTCGAGTTAATGGTCAACCTCCATAAGTGAATAACTTTGATTTCAGAAAGCGCTATATAATAAGAAATTATTCAGATTTGTTTATTTAAGTAAAAAAAAAATTACGGCATTGTTAATTTTTTAATTGCTTAAAAAAATCATTCATTATGTTTTATTTTAATTGTTTAAGAAAATATTATAAAAGCATGTGTAAAGAGAAAATCAATATAGACATATTGATACTTTAGACAGACTTCTATAAAATGTGTAACAAGTACTAGGAATATTACAATTTTTTGCATATAAAAAAAAAATTGCAAGTAAATATAATTTTGGGCATAGGCGCAGTATACAGAAATGATGAAAGCATACCAAAGTTCGCCCCCGTACATTCAGTGGTTGGCGCACAAAACACGAGGTTTGAACCCGTTCAATTTGGTACATCACTAAACCATTGGGATCTGTTTGTGTACACGCATTCACATCACTAGCTTCATTATAATACGGGCTTATACACAAAAAGTAATAAAAAAAAATAAACAAATTCAGTGTTAAATTTTTTTGGGTTTTTTTTTGTAGATGATGGAAATGTGTTTATAATAATCACAATATTTGTGACTTTATAAATCATAGGAAATAGTAGTTTTTATAAATTAAATCAATGGTGTTTAATTTATAAAAAAAATCATTATGTTTATTGGTTATAATATATGCATTTTTCATTTAGTATGTTATAATCTTCAAAATCAAATAAAACTGACTCGATTCAAACTTAATATCATAAACTTATTATAAATACAACTATTGGATCCTGAGTTACATAATATTATAAATTAATAAAAAAAAAATCCCCCTTAACTTCTTTAATACAATTTTTTTTCTAAAAGCTAAACAAAAGTCAATGAAAACACTGGCTATTCAGTCAACCATAGATTATAAAAATTATCTTGTCTATGTCAATTATATAATCTATGTTTTTATTTGATTTTGCCATGTGACTAACACTCGCACATAATAATAACCATTTTTGTCCTACATGCACTTCACCTCATACATTGCACGGACTTTTGCTAGTCTGAGTACGAAAAGAGTTTGAAGGCTTACCACAACTCGCCGGCGTATCTCGCATATATCGCGGCGAAAAACAAAGCAGTAGGTAAGCAAGGTCACTTTGATGAATCATTTGTACAAAAAAACATTCAAAAAAAGTCCTATCAAATTGTGTTGTATATTGAAATTTCTAAAATTCAATATACCTTAATTCTGATTTGAGAACTTAACTCTAGTAATTTTATTAATGATATACAAAAAAAAGCTATTTTTTTAATCCAATATTGTGTTTAATGTATATAAAAAAAAAAAAACAAAAGCATTAAAAATCAATGTTTGTATCATATTTGTTAACACATATTTTATCAGTAGTAGGTAATCTAGAAGATGAAAGCTCAAGCAAGAAAGGAAGCTCACAGAAGGAACAGCAGCAACAAGACAGAAGAATTGATATACAACCAGCGGAAGATGAAGAAGGTAACGAATTACTTCTTGGTTTTTATATTAATATTTACTTTACAAATTAACAAAAACTATGTGGATGGATTAATAAAAAAAAATCTTTTCTTCTAAAGTTTTCTTTTAGATTTCAACATTCTATATATAATATTACTAATTAATATATTAAGTTACAAAAGAATTCATTATCAACCCATTTCCCTACAGAGGGTAGGCACAGTTTGTGCTGCTCCATATATTTCTATTAGCCGTTATATCTGAATCCACTTCCTTAAGCATATCCTCTTTCTCATAACCCATACTTTCTTCGGTCTTCCACTACCTTTGTGGCCATCCACATTCAATCTTAACACCTGATTTATGTCCCCATCTATTTGTTAGGTTACAAAAGAATTATGTTAGGAGAGCCATAAACAAGAAACAGAATAGAATAGAATGGAAGAGAATTATGAAAAAAAAACTTTATTTCTTTCAGATCAAGATGAGGGTTTATCAGTGAAGCACGTGGCATACGCACGATATCTACGGAACCATAGACTTATAAATGAAATATTCTCAGACACGGTCGTGCCTGACGTCAGGTCTGTGGTCACTACCGCTAGGATGCAAGTGCGTATTAAAATATCTCATTTACATAAATCAATCTTTATATGTTACGAGCTGTTGCCCGCGACTTCGTCCGCGTGTTGTTAGAAAACATACGAACTATATTAATTACAAAAAGCTACTTATCCCTCGGGAACCGGACATTTCTCGGGGATGAAGCTTATCCCATGTGTACTCCAAACTTTGTTTTATATCTGTGCCAAATTTCAATAAGATATGTTGAACCGTTGCAGAATGATCGAGTAAACATTAAAAAACTAAATTAATGAATCCCACGGGAACCGTAACTATTGCCGGGATAAAAAGTAGCCTATGTGTTCTTCCTGACTATGCTCTAAACCTGTGCCAAATTTCATGGAGATCCGTTCAGCCGTTTAGGCTACAAACGCTAATAAACATCCATCCATCCATCTAAACTAAGCATTTATAATATTAGTAAGAAGACTTGAAGGACCACATTTTAAAAACTCTGTTTCTACTTAAAGTTGATAAGTTTTAAAAGTATTTTAACTGGAGTTAAAAATGTATTTTTAGAAAGTTACAGTTTATTCAAACAAATCCGACTTAAAGGACCATTTTTCTTTTAAATTTCATAGTAAAACTTAAGATTTTTTTTTTCTCTTTGTAGATCTTGAAGAAACAAGTGCAGTCATTGACAATGCATCAGACAAAATTAGAAGATGAATTACAACAGATAGAAGAGAAGTTCGATGCAAAGAAGAGAAAGTTTATTGAGAGCAGTGAGACATTCCAAGAAGAATTAAAGAAGGTAACTTGAGATAAATTTATCACAACATCAGGGAAATATTTAAGTTTATTCTCTAGAAAAAGAAGTTAGCAAGATAGAAATAAGAATACAGAAGAATTTAATGACTCCTTTTGGGAAGTCGGTCAAAAGATATATTTGTTTACTAACTTTCGCTAGCGACTCTATCCGCATGGAATTAAAAAAAAAAGTGTCTTGTAAGAATTTAATGGAAGTAAAAAAAAAAAAGCCTTTGTGTTCTTCCAGACTCCAAATTTCATCGAAATCCGTTCAGCAGTTTAGTCTACAAACATCCATGTAAACTTTCGCATTTATAATATTAGTATGATCAGTATATTCCTGTTTGGCAGCACTGCAAGCCAGCTGTGGACGAGGAGACATTCCAGCGCATGGTGGAGCGCGCCGTGGAGCAGCTGAGGCGCGGCGGACAGCCGCAGCCCCTCGCGCCACACCTCACACCTCACCTCGCCACTAGAAAGGAGGAGGTATAGCGTTTTACCAGCTTTATCACCTCGCACCTCACCTCGCCACTAGAAAGGAGGAGGTATACCGATTTACCAGCTTTATTACCTCGCATCTCACCTACCCATTAGAAAGGAGGAGGTATACCGATTTACCAGCTTTATCACCTCGCATCTCATCTCTCCACTAGAAAGGAGGAGGTATACCGATTTACCAGTTTTATCTCTATCGCCTAGTTGTTCTACTTCTAGATGTCAGTCACCGGTCGCAGATGTCTGCCTACAGACTTATTCAAATGGGGATATATTTAAGCGGATTTATTCCAGCTGCAGATGTCGGCCAACAAACTTTTACAGCTGCAGATTTCTGTCATCAGACTTATTACCGTTGCAGATGTCTGTCAACAGACTTCTACAGCTGCAGTCTATGGGCAGATTTAATCCATTTCCAGATGTTTATTGGCAGAATTATTCTAGTGGCAGATGTCTATAGACAGACTGGTCACAGTTACATATGTCTAAAGGTCCATCCAGACCGGAATGTAGACCAGAGCAAATATTTTCTTACAATTTATATGATTTTAACAAAGGTTAATTTAACTTTAGATGTCTTTTCTTATCTTTACGTCTTAATATTATAAAGCTTGAGCTTTAAAAATTTTATAAAAACCGAATACCTGTTCCGGTAAATGCTGGTCTCTGAACGAACACCTATTCCAAATATTCACCTATTTTGGGCATATAAGTTGATTTGCCAACTCATATTATGTTTAACTCCACAGCCAATGGAACAAGATACAAATCAGATAAAATCTGAAGCAAATGGTCCGAACCCGCCCACACAAGTGGATAAAGTTTCCACTACGGAGGTGAAGCCTGACAGCAGCACTACCACGGAGCTGAACAAGCCTGAAGAAGAAGCCGCTAAAGAACCTCCAGCTGAAGCTGCCCCTAGTGTACCTGAAGTTGAAAGTAAGTTACTAAAATATACAGGGTAATTTATAACATGGATCAAAAAATAGAAGGAAGATGTCAATAATTATTGTTTAAACCCATTTTGTTTCACGATTTTCTATAAGAACGCTTCTTTTATTAGTGTTAATCGAAATAAAGCAACAAATACGAAAGCCCAATTAGTTGGCTTATGTAAGATAACAAATTATTACTGAAAACACATATTTCGGACGCAAGGGTACAATACAGCCGATTGGATTAAGAGATTTTTAAAATCTCGATATTTTGGGCATAATCTTAATAAAATAAATAGCTATTTAGGTCCTCTACTTCCACAAAGCTTTGATCAAACGCACAGGCAAATTTCAATCAAAAGAAAATGGGATTTAAAAATATAGAAAATCACGTAAAATACTGTGGGCTTAATCGATGGCTATTGGGGATTCTCTTCCACAAAGTTTTGATCCGTACGTTTAGTCACCCTGTATAATATCCAGTTTTATGAATAGAATGTAATGAGTTTTATGTTTTTTCTTATAGATAAAGAAGAGAAGCCAGTGGAACTGAAAGTAGAAGCGAAAGAGCCTGTGGCCACGCCCCCAGCCGCCCCCGCGCCCGGCCCAGCCCCCGGCCCCGCCCCCGGCGTGCCGCAACCCCCGCCACAGCACATCACCTCGCCGCCACACCACTGTAACTTTGTTTTTTTAACCCCCTTTAACCTTTCTAACTTATACTTATGTATAACCGGAATATTTTGATACTGGTATACATCTAGCTTTTAAATTCAATCTCATACTTTTGTCTCATTTCTCTAGTATGGTCGACTAATTTTATAGCCTAATGAACGTTACAACAATAAAAAAAAATTAAAAGCAACATATGCTTGTTTAGTAAACATTATAAAGAGAAAATCTGTTTGTTTCATTGTAATGAAATAATTTAAAAAACGCGGACGGAGTCGCGTGCGAGAGCTTACTAGCTTACTGGCTAAAATAAAACAATTAAGAGAAATAAAGTATTGTATGTGTTATTACAGCTATGATGATATTTTGATTATTGTATTATTACAGCGATGATGATACCGCCGAACGCGAACGCTCCGCCCCACCAGGGACCTCCCCACGCCGGCCCGCCCCCGCCCCCGGGTACGGTAACATTATTGTCTTAATTCATATTTACTTTAGGAATTAGCGTTCGGTGGATTAAAAAAATATGCATTTTTGCATACACCAGTTTCCTACCAATAAATTAATCGGAACAAACGCTGACTTGCAGGCAGACAGACAAACAGATAGACAGATGTTCTCTGTCTCCTTAGCTTGTATCCCATATGGTGGTGAGTTAGAAACGTAAATGTTTTTTCGTTTAAGATAACGAAAATGCATATTTCCGAAATATATGCATAATATACTCCATAAATTAATTTACGAACGCAATAGGCAGAAAAGGGCTACGTTTAAAGCACAAACACTACGATTTTATTTTAGTCAAAGTACTTTGAGGTTTACTTTTTTTCTGCCTATTTTTGGAACTTTGAATGTCACTGGACACCCTGTATAATACTGCTACGTTCGTAGGCGGCGGCTACGGACCGGGCTACGGCGGGCGGTACTACGGCGGCTACGGCAGCGGCTTCCCCCCCGGATACTACTACACGGGGGAGCACTACGCGCATATGCCGCACGCGCATATGCCACACCATGCACCACACCCCGCACCCCACCCTGCGCCTCATACCGCCCCCCACCACCTCAAACGTGAGTATAGGTTTTTGTATGAGGGGAGCAAAGATACCCTAATTGTTAATGTTAGTTGGTTTGAATTAAATTTGGATAGTCAAATATTGTAAACCATATGCAAGTTTTTTAAAACCTTGAATATGAAGATATGAATTAACAAAAATTTCATCTTAATTTAAGAAATAACGATATTTTTGTAGATTGCATTTTACTATGATTTCAAGATGGCAACTCTACAAAATGTATGACATTTTTACTATCCCCTCAATATGTCTATTAAATAATAGAATTTGGCTGATGAATTAAAATTTCCAATTCAATATTTTAAAAACTATTGTTGCAAATTAAAACGATTAATAAATCTATTAACTTCTCAATTATGTTTATTAATCCAAGTTTTGACTTGTACCAACATAACCTTAGCAATCTATTCTATATGAAAATCAAAGAGTATCAAAATTATAAAATCTAACTTCTAACTAATATTATAAATTCAAAAGTTTAGATGGATGGATGTTTGTTAGTTTGTAGCCTAAACGGCTGAACGGATTTCGACGAATTTTGGTATAGATGTAAAGGGTCTGGAAGAACACATAGAACACACTTTTGTTTTTTTTTTTAATTTCACGTACACGGATTCGCGGGCAAAAGCTAGTCTGTTAATTAAAAAGCTTATCAAGAAATGTGTAACACTATATAAATATTTGTTTATATTTTTATTTGAATTTTCCAGCGGAGGAATCACAAGTAAAGAAAGAGGGCGAATGATTGTCACCTAAGCGCGTCGTCAAACGACGTCGCAAATCCTCGCCGAAGGAACAACAGTGAACAGTGTGTACATTGACGAAACATGTACAGAAACATCCGTTATGTTTTTGTATACTAGTGTTTTCAGTTATATTGACTCCTAGTGTTTGTGAAGTGTCAACATTGAACATAAATATAGAAGTAAGTTTAAGATAAAATTGGATGTGAAATATAATTTAAATAAAGGTATGTATGTTTTCTTTTTTAGGTTAAATGTAATTACTATCGGCATATTTTTTGGTTAAAAAATAAATAATATTCAATTTATGTTTGTAAAATGTTCGCTGTTAATATATTCTTGTAAACGAGAATGTTTTTTTTTTGACAGTGGTAGAGCCCACTTTAACATCTTCGCATGAATGGGTCGACTTGCCCGGTGAAATACCACGACCACACAGAAAACAGGCGTGAAGTGGGAGCAATTCCATGTTTTGTCTGATGAGTGTGGTGGCGGAGGCCTAATTTTAGTCCTTTTCCCTTTCCACCCTGTTCTTAACAGGAAAGGATGGGAAGAAAAAGTGGATTTGATGGTGGACGAGACACATATGAGGGGAAAATGTCCTCTTTATGTGCGTCTCCTCCTCCGTCAATGAAAGGTAGGCAATGCATATGCAATTGCGGATGTTTATGGTCATGGATTCAGGTGGCCACTTGCTCGTTTGCCACCTTATAATATAAAAAAAAATGTTGCATTTCATAAATGGCCACCATTTCTTTATTTTGAAAATTGTGAGATAGTGTAGATTGTATATACAAGCTATATAGCTAAATAATATATAGTTTAGCATTACACTGAAAATATTTTAGAATTTACATTTTAGCATAAAAGACAATTTAGTCTAAATATTTTGGGTTGGAATGAGGTGTAAGACGAAATAACTTTATTACGGTAATCTGACAAGCAATATAAAAACCCTCACCATAATATATGGCAATTTTTCTATAAGTGGAATACGGAGGATTTCCGCGATTGTACTTTTGAAACAAAGAAGTAGCTGGTACCAGCCCCCTATCCAATGTCTTACGAATATTGGTGAGTCAAAATGGCGGATGTACCATAGCGAATTAAATTATACCATTTACTAACAAAATGTACCTAAAATGTACCTCGCTCAAAAAAAATTGTACCTTCTCTAGAACGCAATTATAATGAAACTTGTTTTCGCCCGCGACTTCGTCCGCGTTGAATTATAAAAACTAAAGTGAGTAGGCTCTATGTTCTTCCAGACTATCCTCTTCATCTATACCGAATTTTATCGAGATCTTCAGCCGTTTGGGCTACAAATTCTAACAAATATCCATCCATCTAAACTTTCGCACTTATATTAGTAAGATTAAGTTACACCCGCCATTTTGACTCTCACGAATATTGCTAGTTGAATCGACAAAATATATAGGAATTAGGTTCACGGGCTGACAGTCAGCTGACAGTCAGCCCGTGAACATGGCGCATGCAACTGTGCCGAAATATCGGGAGCTAAAACAATTCAATCGTGGTAAGAAACTCGTATCTTACGACCATTATATTTGTAAAAACCACGACAGTTTAAAGTTATTTATCAAATCTTATCATCAGTTCTATACATTTTTAACTTTTGAATCATCAATAGTGATAATTGTATGTTACTTAATTTAAGAAGATAAGGGCTTTTACTATCACTGTTAGATTTAACTAAGGATTTAGAAATAAAAATCATTTTAGTGTAAGCATAATTTCATAGACATTTCTAATCTTAGTATATATTAATACATTGATTTGATTATATTAGATTGATAATATAAATAGATTTTAAATACTAAAGTAATGTGTAATTGAGAATTGTATGTTTATCTGTTATCTTGGATGCGGTTGCTGTTCCGACCAAACTGTGCAATGATTGGTTGACCACTGAGAATTGTACCGTTGACTTCGTCCAATGCTTTAATGGCTAGATTTTCACCTGGAATAAATGATTTTATTGTATTATGGTGTTTTTATTTTTATTTAATTAAAATGGAACTCTCAAAGAGATTCAAATATATAGAGGAGACATACACTTTGCTATGAACAGTTTTTTACAAAAATACTGTTAGTAAAGTCAAACACACTTGACAAATTAATAATTTTTTTACCACTACCAAGTATTGAATATTCAAATAAGCGCCAATAGCCTAATAGTTTGGGGTACGGACTACAGATCTTGCGGTCGAGGGTTCGAATGCCGCCATTCGACTATTGTCGTGAACCATATCCTAGCACAAGCCTACAGCTTAGTCGGAATGGTTAAAGGAAATATTAGTAAATTAACAAAAATCTAGTGATATTTAAAAAAAAAGTTATGTCTATACATAGATCAAACTATTAAAAAAAATAATATGTTACAGTAGTGATCAGAAGGTAATTTAAGATTCAGTTTTAGACCATGGCTATAATTGGCAATTTTTTTTTTAATTTATTTTTACAGGGGGCTTTGTCGCGAAGCGACGATAACGCCCCAGAAATCGGAAATTTGTTTTATATAAATCTGTGGTCCATTTTCAGTTTTTTGTTTTTAAATTAATTAAAACATGTAAAAAACCACCCTCAACTCCCATTCAGCAGCTAATTAAATTGCCTCTCATTTTCATGTTTATCAAAATTGTAACTAGTTTATTTAACAGACTTATTATAAATATTTTTAAGAAACTATTAAAAAGTTACAAACTAGTTACTAACTAACATGCCACCTGAGAAATTACCTTTTATTCTTAAAGTAAATACAGCCTGGTAGCTATGCAATAATCAAACTATTCAACAACAAGGAACTTACTGATTACACAAATTAAAAAAAAAACTGGGGAATATATTGGCATGTAAACTTAACACTGATAGTACCGAACACACAAATAATCAGGTGAAAAAATAGTTCACTTCTCTTATATGTATTAAATGTCTGTTAAATTTATTACATACTTGAAAATGTGACAAAAGCCTGTCCCCTCATACGGCCGCTGAGCAATCGTACATCGATGGGTCCACCATTTTCCAATAGGAATTGATTGAATAGTAAAGAGATACGTTCTTCAGATACCGCTGGAGATATGTTCTTTAAATATAACACCTGGAAATGTAAATTATAGAATTTTGTTATAGACAAACTATTGATTGGCTAGCTCCATAGATTCTTATATAAATAGAGGAGTAGTCAACACTTGGCTTAACATTTTTAACATAATCTCTCTGCTAGTAAAAAGTAAATTGCACTTGACAAATTTATTATTTGATAGCCCTATCTGTTCCTGAATATTCTAAAGCACATAAATTATGAAAGAATTAATTTTGTCAATACATGGCTCAAATTATGAAATTATGTCACTCAGTAGTATTAGGGGTAAGTTTAAAATTTTGCATTTTGCATTTTACATTTAAGCAACCTCGGCCAGGTTATTTCTACTTCTTTCTATCATACTAATCTTGCTAATGTTATAAATAGTAAATTTTATATGGATGTATGTGGGGATTTGTAGTTGGAACTGCTGAATGGATCACAATGTGGCATAAATGGGGTCAATCTGGGAGAAAACATAGGTTACTACCATTACCTACTATTACTTACTACCCTACTACCTTTTGTTTTATGAATTTCCCACTGACGGGAAAACTAATTTCGAAATTATGTATAACGTACTTTTGATGGTATCCCAGGTTCATAATCCTTAAATCTGTCCATAGCCTTGATATCATCCAGGTTCATCTTAGTTCCTTCTAGCAGTTGCTCTTCCGCTGGATTCACAGGCATCACAATATCTACTGCTCGGAATTCATCCCTCGCTTCATCTTGCACTGGCTCTAATCTTAATATTTTATTATCTTTTATTGTGTACATTGTCTGTGCTTTTGGGCCTATTAATTTATCTTTTGATGTATTAGGTAGTCCCTTAGATGTACTGCATTCTGGAAGTCTTTCTGGGATGTCTTTTACATCCCACAAACTCCCAGGCTTACTTGTTGAGGGTTGTGATTCATTGTGTGTCGTAACAAGTTGTAATTGCTTTTGTTGCGCGATAATCTTTTCTTTCTTTCTTTCCAGACGTCTTAACAGCTTTCTTCTCTTTGTTATTGGCATTATGTTGTCATTTCTTAAATGACCAAAGAGATCTTCCTCTATTTCTTTCAATTCATGCATAGGATGACTTTCAGGATAGAATTTAAGAGCCCTCTTTGGCTTTGTTTCGCGAGTTTGTTCATTTTTACTTGTAGAAGTACTTGGTGCTACAGTATTTTGCTTTGAACTGAAAAATTTGTTTGTTGTAGCACAATTTTATATACTGCATGTCTATACTAATCTTATAAAGAGGAAAGATTTGTATTTTGTATGTATTGAAATAACTCAAGAACTACTCAAAATGATTTCAACATTAAAAAATTGCTTTATCAGTAAGTAACACAGGCTATTTAATATATGATTACATGCAGGTGAAGTTGCAAGAAACAGCTAGTAATTTAATGAAATGCTTATTATATGGAATCTTAAGTTCATAGATATGCAATGTATTTGTTCATAAGACTCACCTGCTAAAGGCTTGAAAATGATTTATTTTATTATAAATCTCATCCAATTTAGTTTTCAAAACAGAGGATTCAATTTTTTTGCGCTGATCTAAAAGACCAGCTTCGTTTTCTTGATATAGTTTCACTTCTTCATTAGACAATCCAACTTTTTTTAGCCACTCTATATGTTGAATGTCTTTTTCTGCTTTCGAAAAATCTTGTAATGTGGACAATCCATACTTCGTAAATGGTAAAACTTCGGTGTTTTTCTCAAATTCCTTTGGTAACTCAGAACTGGAAAATGCAAAACAACAATAAGATTGGTTTTTCTGACATTTACAATTCCAACTAGAATCTTTATTGTATTAATACGCACCACATTTTAAACACTCGCGTCTTAGTAAATCACATACAACTGTATCATATGAATGAAATCGTTTATTCCTTTGCGCTTGGTTTATTTCGCCATTCTCAAATTATGAAGGTTCAACCAACATCAATTTCAACCTTGATTTTATGGGAGGCAATAATGTACAACCACGATAATGCACGGCCCAATAATCCGTGTACAAACAAAGAGATTTTAGTACATGAATTATCGGGCCGTGCATTATTGGGTCGTGCATTATCGGGCCGTACATTATCGGTACGGGCCAATAATCCGTGTCCAATAAAAAGTATGTACACGAATTATTGGGTCGTGCATTATTGGGCCGTACATTATCGGGCCGTACATTATTTGCATCTCCCCGGACTCTGGAGGTGTTGGTCTATTAAAACACTCGTATTCACATATTCAACTGGTATATTTGCAATATAAAACAGTCACATATTACATTTGATAAAGTTTTATGTTTATATATGTTGCCCGGTACTTGTCGTGATAAGTCTCTGTTTACAAACATCAAATTCTTTATAAAATTTAAATACACTGTTCCAATATTCAAATCATCCTTCTTGTACAAGGTGTTGCCAGCCAGTAACATAACATATAAAAACCTCAACACTGTTCTAGTAATACATCCATGCTTTCAATTATTTTCCGTAAGACCCCTAAAACCTGTGTTTTTGTCTTAAGTGGGCCGTAACTCTCCTCTGGTCCGAAACTAATCTTGGGTAGTACACGTACAATGTACTAAAAAGTAATGTTATTAAGCACTGTACTAAAAGTAACATTACCGAACGGCTTCTGTTAATCAGACATTTGGCACTTTTAGTACACTACGCAATATCAGTGTTTGCCTCTTCATTGTTTGATTGTATTGAATATTTGCCAGTTTGAAGCATCCACCTTCAGTAATGAGAATCAAAAGTGGATAAAATTGTTTATAACTTAAATTAACATATGTTTGACCCTACTTAAAATTAGATGTGAAGGAATCTGTAACTTTCGTTATATTCTATTTATGTTATTGTTTACTCACGAATCTGAAGTACTAAAGGTACTAAAAGTGTGTACTAGTATGTCTTACCTATTGTACTAGTGTGGTGTGCACTTGCAGATGTCCGATTAAGCACAAGACTATCCGAAACTGTTTAATCTACCCTTCTCTGGGTTGTTTTTTAACAAAGTAACGTTTTCAAAAGATCCTTGACATTTTTCAGAACAAATAAATTTAACATCTTTTCGTAAAAAGGATATTGTCAACAAATACATAGTATTTATTAAAATCATATCTATTAGATCAGGTATTTATTACATTTTGTTTTTTATGTTTATTGTTATAGTGGCAAGAATTACATTTTATAATTTTAATCTAAACAAGGCACAAACCATAAATAACAGTAAAATCTTTTTGACCAATGAGTGACGAGTTGAATTGACCAATAGGAAGAACCTGTCATCTGATGTACACGGAATATCGGGTCGTACATTATCGGGCCGTACCAATAATGTACGGCCCAATAATTCGTGTACATGTATTGTACGCCCCGATATTCCGTGTCCAATGGCTCCCAATTATCGGGCCGTACAATACGTGACCGTACATTATTTGTACGGGCCAATAATTCACGACCCGATAATGTACGACCCAATAATGCACGGCCCAATAATCCGTGTACAAACAAAGGGATTTATTTGTACATGGAATATCGGGTCGTACATTATCGGGCCGTACATTATAGGGACCCGACTGACAGGCGTCTTTCTGTCATTGTCAAAAAGGTACATGACATGATCTTTGTAGGTCTATAAAACAAATTGATGTAAACATTTCTTACTGTACAAAACATTGCCTGTAGGTTCACAATTTATAACTATGCAATATTAATAAAAATTAGAATTTATTTAATTATAGCTCCGAAGTCTTAAGTGGCATTACCCAGTGTGTAAAGATTTGCCGAGGCCAACTTACGACTGTACATGTAAATAATTTTAATAGGCACATCGCAACAATAATCAATAATTCGATTATTCCGTTACAGAACAGTAGAATGAACAATTGGGATGAGCAATATGCGATGCATAACGTAATGCAAATGAATTCGATGTTACCACCTGTAATGATTCCTCATAATTTTATGGTACAAGATAATACAATGAATTCTACTATGAAGGCACCTTTAATCGGCCCAGTACTTCCTGTTAACCAAGTGGAGAAGTCTGATATACCAGTTACGCAAGCAGAAGTCCAATGCGTGGAAGCGGAAAGTAGCACACAAAGTTCAAAGCGCCAGTCGCGAGAACATGATCAAGAAAGTAAAGAAAAAAGAGATAGACGAGATCGCAACAGAGGTCAGTATCGGCGCGGAATTGAGGCGAGATGTGGAAACCGCCCAGGCCGCCGGTCATAAAGCAATGCTGCATACGCCCTGGACGGTCTCCGCGCCTTAATTGTGTTTGTTAACATTTGTTCCATTTATAACGAAATATTTCACTTATTACAGACCGAAGACATCGATCTAGATCCCGCGATCGTAATGAACGACGTGATAGAGATGATAGGAGAAGACATTCAAAATGGGACAATGATAGAGACAGATCTAATTCAAGACCGGCTATGTCTGGAATGACAATGGGAAATATGATGATTCCAGGTGAGAAAAAATATAGAATTCCTAAAGCAAAAAGTGTCTTAGTGTTATGGTTATAGTAGATAATTTAAATTGCGTCTGGTCTCATTGAATCAGTCAGAATTAAGTTTATGCAGAATATAAAAAAAATGTAGTTGTCTGTTATATTCCCACATCTTTCTACCAGCTTCATTTAGATGGATGGATCTTTAGAGTTGGAAGTGCTCAATGTATCTCAATTGACATAGATGTAGAGCCAATGAAGTGCCAATAGACTACTTACTTTTGTTTTTTAATTCCATAGGCAAAAGCTACTAGTTGATTTCTATTTTCGTTTGTTCCAGGTACAATGATGGCATACAATAATATGTTGACCCAACAACAAATGCACATGATGCCCGGTTTAAATATAATTAGAATGGTGGATGAATCATGTATAAACCAAGCAATACCAATACATAACCAAATAATCTTTCCATCGGGAGTACTATTACCACCGATTCCTGGTACATCATTGCCACAAAGACGAGAACGTCCTAAAGGATGTCGTACTATAGTTGTAGGCGGTCTACCTAATGTTAAAAGTGATATAGTAATGGAAATATTCAAGCAATTCGGTGATATTCACGTCAAATCGCCGCGGCAAGGCATCGTTCATGTGCGTTTCTCTTCATCAGAAGTAATGGAACAAGCATTATTCTTAACGGGATATAGATTCAAATTTCATGAACAAGCGGACAATGAGGCTACTACACTTTTTATTGATTATGCAATAGTAAGTTATCATACTAATATTATAAATGCGAAAGTTTAGATGGATGGATGGATGTTAGAGTTTGTATCCTTAACGGCTGAACGGACTTCTGTGGAATTTGGTATAGATGTAGAGGATAGTCTGAAAGAACACATAATGTACTCATTTTTGTTTTTTTTTGTAATTCCACGAGGACGGAGTCGCGGGCGAAAGCTAGTTAATATTATAAATCGGAAAATTAAATTAAGAGTGTAGATGGCTGAAGGGTTTAAGCACTTAACTTGTAGTCCTGGATTCGAATCCCATGTATCAATTTTTTTTAATTTCGAATTTTATATGTACATAATTTACCCGATGGTCGTCTGATGAAGGAAATCATGCAAACTGCACTTATATAAGAAATTCCAAGATATGTGTTATGTTAACCTGCAGTGCCCTTATTGGGGACATATACTGGGCTGGTAATAGTTACCATATCATGCTTCATACTAATTATAATAAATGTGAAAGTTTGGATGGATGTTTGTTTGTAGCCTAAACTGCTTACAAATCTCAGTGAAATTTGGCATAGATGTAAAGGATATTCTAGAAGAACACACAGGCTACTAGTTTTTTTAATACCACGCGAATGGAGTCGCGGGCGAAAGCTAGTATTAATATATGTATTTGATTATTGTTTTTTTACTTAGAATAGAGAAGATGAAGCTGAATATGAGAAAGAAGATCGTGAGCAAACAACAGTTCGAGTGGAACAGTTTACAACGACTGCACTCACAGCCATCGCGGAAAAGATTAAAAGTGAGGAAGACTTTGCCACTGCTGCTCCGGTAAGTGTTATAAGAGTCCATTCACACATACCAAGGTGGAGAACAGAGATTTTTATCGCAAATAAAATTGAGCTTTAGAGAATTGGAATAAAGTTTAATTTTGCCTTACATGTCTTTTTTACGTTCTTGATAAAGATGTGTAAAGTAAAATTGAAATTGCTTGTAATAAACCTCTTATCTATACTGATGTTATAAAAAGAAAACATTTGTCTATGTATTTTTGTATGTATTGAAATAACTAAAAAACTACTCAGCCTTAAAAATTCTTTCACTGTTAAAAAGGTAATTTATCTGTGACTAACATAGGCTGTTTTAATATCACGCAGGCGAAGTTGCGAGTAACTGCTAGTTTGCTATAATTTGTTTTACTCTCTGCCTCAATCTGGTTGCATCTAATCCTAATAACTCCAATAAACTATATTGAGTCTTTAATATATTTGTGTGAATCAAATGTTGCCATCTATTAAATATAGTTGTTAATTTTTTTTTTTAAGTTTTTTAAGCTAGCGCTTGACCACGATCCCACCGACTGAGAGTGAAGATTTGGTCGAAAGATGGTACGCGCTAATAAATACGCATTCACTCTTTTCTTGAAGGCCCCCACGTCATATCTGGACGGAAAAACCGACGCTGGCCAAAAAAAAAATTGATTTTTAATTGGGTTATAGCTCCTTTTAAGTATTTATAATCTGTAATCATAAAGTGAACCATGTAATAGTAGTTAAGGGGAGGCTAAAAACCAGCACGGCTTTTAGTGACAAGCTGGAGGCTGTATCAGCTGAGCCTTCTCCTTTTGGAATTTTTATTTGTTTATTTTTGTTACAGTAACTAATATTTTTTGTAAGTGGTGTTCTTTTTTATAATTCTTTTGGTCAATAGTGTTTCATTTTATTTTATTTAATAATGTGAAGTTAACAAAATCCTGATTTTTGTATTTTTAGACCCTAGCTGTGTGGTTGGAACGTGGAGAATGCAACAAGAGGAATGCAAACAACTTTTATTCTTTGATACAAGCGAGTAATAACCAACTTAGGAGGTTGTTTAATGAAAAAATGCAACTGGATGAGGAATTGCAGAATTTAAAGACTTCTTTGAAGGATAGATTTGCACGAGTTCTTTTGCAATGTAGGTTATTTTAAAATTTCAATAGTTTGAGACAAAAAAAAAACATACAGACGAATTGAGTACCTCCTTCTTTTGGGAAGTCGGTCAAAAATATAATCGTAACAAATAATACTTTGGTTGTCTACTGATTCCTGCCAGAATATTCTACTAAATAAACACATACTTATGTTTATGTCAGCAATCACTGGACATTTTTGAATTATCCTTCTATCTACATATAATAAAATTGGAATGTCTGTTTGTAATATAAAAAAAATATTCAGGTTTAGGGAAGATGATGTATTTACGTTGCTGATAATGAAGATGGCATTTAATTTTTTTTTATCTTAAAATTAAGTGGACGAAGTCGCGGGCAACAGCTAACTTTTAATTAAAAAGCTCTACACTTACTCTCTTTAGGGTGAGTTGCATCAAATCGCCGGTTATCGTAAAAGTTATAGTTATAGTTAATAGGGTTACAAGTGCAAAAACATATTCTCACAGAGGTTTTATGTGTTTTTCGTTTTTACAATGGAAACATTTAAACCTGAATGTCACTAAAGTGTCAAGTTGGTGTCAAGAATGACATTTACGTAAATTAAAATGTTTGGAAATTCATGTTTCGCCGTATATATTTATGTATCATACGCATGGTATTTTATAGTGACATAAACTTTTTGCCCACGGAGATGGAGAAAATGGCAAACTCTTGTGAAAATAAACTAGTTTGGGCCATTAATGAAACTGTATTTACTTTACTACTCAAATATGTAGCAAAAATGAAACAATAAAATTATACAAATATAATTGCATCTTATTTATTTTCCATATTATAAATTGTCCTGTCAATGCATATTATAAATTGTCCTTTTATGGAGGACATTTTTTTTAAATAAGGGAAAAGGGACAAGCGCTGTTGCTATGGCCTTAGACACTCGAAATTTGTCCAAACTGAATGATTGGCCAAATTTCGAGTTCCATCTTGGAAATCCATTATTCCCGAGCACGCAAGACTTTATTCTTCTGGATTACGTATAGGATAATAGTAGAGATTTTCTTTTTCCATTACTTTTTCCATTATTTGTACTTTTGAAGATAAGAGCTTGTGACAGTTGACACTACCGAACTGACACTAACCGTAACGCTAATTATAACCGCCCAAAATCGGGCGGTTATGATTAGTGTCATATATGACGTCATTTTGACCAGCGCAAAACTGGTGTAGCGAATATCATGAACATCCGTAGACGTAACCATCGTGAATGTGCTGGTTAAGGTTTATTGTTAGTTAATGTAACTCACCCTTAGTAAATTTTAAGGTTATTCCAAATATTACCGTTACAAATAATTTTAACTTTAACGGTAACCGGCGATATGGTGCAACTCACCCTTAGGCTATTAAATTAAGGGAGCAAATAATTGGGAAAAAACTCGTCATGCGGGAAAGGGACAAAAACTACAAGACAACAACATTAAGGAAGCAAAGTTGCCATGGTAACGGTAGTTATCCAATGTCAAGCTCCTTTGTTGTCATTTGTGCATTTGAATTTTGACATTTGCAATTAAAAATATCACAAATGTAAACAATAAAATAAAGTTTTTTTAATTTCTTGCGGATAAGCCGCACGGGAACAGCTTGCCTTTAATACTTTTGACTGACATTGACAGATGTCATAAGGATGGGGATGTATATGGCAATGATCTAGTGTTGCACCCATTTCTTAACACTAAACTAGATAGTTAAACCTGAAAATATATTTTTTCCAGTCGAGCAGGTTGCTAAAATTCTGACAGCGGCCAAACACCAGAGAGTATCAGACCATTTTACAAAACAACAGCGGCGCAATGTAGAAATGTGGCTCAAAATGACTGAGGTATGTAAAACTAGGGTCGGCAGGTTAGATAAAACAATAGAGGATAGCACAAAAATTAGCAATTAACTATTCATAATGTTGAAGACGAACCTTGTGAAAGATTTATCAAGTACAAATGTCATAAGTTTTTCCGATGTCGTTACGAATACTTTGTCGCAAATTTTCGTGCCCGGTCCTTTCATAATTTTCATCCAAGAAATTTTCATTAAAATACTCTCTTTTTTTTAAAGTCTGACAAATGTTTGAGTTTTAAAACTGCACAAATCTTTACCTTAAAAATGTTTTACTTATGTTTTTAATAATCTATATTTGAACTCTTCCAGGAAGTAGAAAATATCAAAGAGGAGTTTAAAACTGTGTTCGAGGATGACGATGGAGACAGAGCGGGCTCAAACAAATCTATGGTTTCTCAGGAAAAATACGATAAATTAAAGGTGAGAACTAGTTAATTATATTATCAAAACTGTACTTTTTGCTTATATTAAACTAGCTTTCGCCCGCGACTCCGTCCGCATAGAATTAAAATAAACAAAAGCGAGTAGCCTATGTGTGCTATGTATACGTATATACCGAGTTTTATAGAAATCCGTTTCTCCGTTTAGACTACAAACTCTAACAAAAATCCATCTATCAATCTAAACTTTCGTATTATATTTAAAATAAAGTAATTTTTGGCAGACAGAGAATGAAAATCTGACATATGAATTAGAAGGCTACAAAAACGAAGCATTCTTGGCCAAAGATGAAGCAGAGAGGAAATTTGAAAAATTCAAAGCGCATTTCATCGCTCAACAAGCGATGCAAAATCAAAAGGTATTTCCATAGTCAATCTTAGCTTTTATTATAAATAAAAACATAACCATTGCACGTTCGTTTGCTATTATTTGTGAAATGAAAAAATAAAATAGAATCTATGGTCACTAATACTCTATGAAATTCAACATTTTTTTTTAATTGCAGGTGTTCCCACCACTACCAAATTTTAGACCAGATATTCCAGAAGTATTAAAAGCACCTCCTCCTACAATAGAGGACAAAGTCATCACCTCTTCACCTACACCTACAGATGCGAAACTCATCAGTATTCTTACAGCGTTCCTTATGGTACATCCATTAGGTGCCACCCTTGACTATCTCGTGTCATATGTGAAGTCTATGACACCCAATGTCACCCAGGCGACTGTGCTCCAAATTCTACAGAAGTATACTGATGTGTTCCAATGCAAGACATCCGGAGTTGGTGCAACCATAGAGCACAGATGGAGTTTTATTACATTCGATGTTATGAAAACTGTTAAATCATCCTAAAAATGCGTTGTTAATTAATTAATTTACATATTGTAAATATTGGCCATGTGAAATAAAATTAAAGTAATGTTAAGGTGTATTTTCAATGCTTTTTTTATTTGGTTGTTACATTCTTATTAACTCCTTAAATCGCTAATGTTATTTTAACATTAAAATTGAACAGGATAATAGTGATTACTGCTAGTAAGAAATAAACTGCATGAAAGTTTGGATGATGGCGTAAGAAGGGTTGGATGTCGTAGAATGGTTTGATGTGGAGGACGAAAATCAGGTGGCTTAACTCCAAAGCAGGATAAAATAAGGACACGAACATAAGATAATAGTAAAATATTGATTTGAAAGAAAAAATACTTTTTGGAAACAATACTCTAATATTTACTCTCTGTTCGTGGCTCAATCTTTGTTCAAGATTTGATTTGACTTTGACAGTTGTGTTTGAATGACGTTAATTGTCATTTGTCAAAACACATTGTTTCTTTCATGTGCCTTGAGCAGACGTCTTTTGATTTAAAGTATTTTAATATTTATTCAACTTGTTTTAAAAATGAAAAAATGGTGGAATTGGATCTTGGGAATTGCATTATTTTGCTTACTATTTATTGCGATACCTTTAACATTTAGTGGTGATGAGAATGAAAAATTAAAACCCATGTTCGATAATTATATTCAAAAGTTTAATAAAACTTATAAAGACAATCCAGAGGAATACGAAGCGAGGTTTAAATATTTTGTGGTAAGATATTAAAATGCTATTAATTATTCATTAAGTTCTTTATATTGCACAATATAAACTAAAGTTTTAAAAACTTTTTAAGGCGTCAGTTCGTGAAATAGAACTTCTAAATTCAGAGTCTAGAGGTCCCGAACAGCACAGAGCTAGATATGGTCTGACTAAGCTGTCAGATATGTCTAAAGCAGAATATCGAGACGTCCATTTATCTGATGAAAAGCCACATAAAAGGAAAGATAGACAAAACAAGACATACAATAAAAAGAAGAATAAAACAAGCAACGTATTTGATATAGATGATGCAGAGAGTGATAATTCGTCTGGAAATTCACCTCATAACAATATTTATATTATTATCAGAAAGAAACGAGCTACTTTGCCATTAAAAGTAGATTGGTAAGTTATAGTCTATTACATTGTTTATTCAGGCTGTACAATTCAAATATAATCTATATGGGTAGGAACTATCTTAACTAACAGCTTATGACTGTCTGTGGTTTAAAACATAGCCTATGTTACTTGTTGATAATTAAACTTTGTAATGGTGAAAGAATTTTTGGAATTGGCCCAGAATTTTTTGAGTTTATTTGGTACATACAATTTTACAAATTTGACCTATTTATAGTATTATATATTGCAAGGGCAAGGTGTAACACTATGCTACCATGTTAAGTAATCATTCACCCTGAAGAAGGGCACTCAATGGATCGGAAAGTAGTCAATGCCAATATGAGTTTTAATGTCTTGACAAAAGACTTCATTGTTCTTTTTTAAAGGGATTAGACAAGAAGCTTCAACTTGATACTATAAATGTAAACTTTTTTTTTGTAAAACAAAATCAAAACGCTTTCCGAAGTGGTAGTAATGTTAGATGTATTAATAATTATAATAATGATCAGATAGCAGCAACCATTCAAGTCGAGGTTCGGCCCTCTCGGGCGCCCTTGAATCGGAATGCTAAACGCGTATTGAGTGACAGCCAAGCCGAGGTCCCCTCTCGGGGACCCTTGTCACTCCATGGAGCGACCACCGAAGCGATCTAAGAGCTCAGTGGCCTCCCAATCCGGTAATAATAACGAAGTAACGGCCCGAGCCGAGGCTCCTGAGGGAGCCCTCAAGCCTAGTTACTCATAAAAGAGGTTTAGGCTAAGCGCCATCCGCACTGGGCCACCTCAAGCCCAGTGAATCTGTAAATGCCTCTTCAAGGCAAACAGTGACAAATCAGTCACAAAAAAAAATCAAAATCAAAATACATTCTTTTCTTAACATTTTTTGAACCTTAGTTACAAAGGATTTTCTAAAAATAATTAGGAGTTTTAAAATAATCAATGAGTTTGCTTCAATGGTTTCAAATAGTTAGTTAATTTTTTATTTAGATTTACTTAGAGTTAATGTAATCTTCATGATCATATGCAAATAAACTTTGAATGTTCAGCTTTCAAAAATTACAAATCATTTATTATAAAAATATCTTAATGTACTTCAAGAGCTATAATTATCTAATTTTTATCTATGCAAATATACATACAATTTGCTGAATTTTCACATACACGAAGTTTTAGTAATAACTTATAAATAACATAAAACTAAAGTTATAATATCAAATCTGAATTTTTTTTTTTTCACTTAAAACCAATGCATTAAAGCTTACTCTATTCATCCATTTGTCCATCCATCAAAACAAAAGAAAGATTTGAAAATATAGTTTTTTCACGTCTGATAAAAATTACATTATGTTGCAAAATTTGCATGTTGTGTTTTACCATTTTTATCTTTTTATATTTACCTAATTGGTCAAGAAAATTGATAGTATGACATTGAACCACACTTATCTTAATTATTAAAGCATGTAGCTTTTATATGCCATATTTATTTTTTTTGCACATGGCATTTTTTTTTAATTCAAGCAATCTATACTATAGTGTGTCTAAATAATTTAGATTAGTTTGACAATTCATTTCAAATTTAGTAGGGATGGGTTGTGTAAAATCAGTCATGAATCTTATCGATTTTCGAATTTTCTCTTATAGAAGTTGGAATCGATAGATTTAAGTTAAAACTTATGAATTTAAAAAAAACACTGTTTTCTCAAATTAATAATGACCATAACAAATAATGAGAGTAAATAAATGTTTATTACTACTACAGCCGTACGTAATCGAATTGGATTTCGCTATTATTTCTGTCATCGCTAAATTCTCTACGCTATAATCAATACTAGAATTGTCCTATAAATTAGTTAATAAGGAAGTAATAATTTTTGTCGAGTTCGATAATTATTTCAACCGAATATCGATAGTTCCAAATTGTGCGCTATGCGTGTTTGTTTCGTCACTACGATAGCTGTCTATTAAGTATGGCATTTGCCTTCATAGAAATTGAATTCGATACTTCATATACGTCATTTATCAAACTAATCTATTTTATTTAGACAAACTATAATTTATCTCCTTACGTTAGTAAGTAATATTAATTACAAATGCCAAAGTTTATATAGATGGATGTTTGTTAGAGTTTGTAGCTTAAATGCCAGAACAGATCAGGATAAAATTTGTCATAGATGTTGTAGTTTGGAAGAACAGATAGGCTACTTTTTTTTTAATTCCACATGAACGGAGTCGCATACTATAGCTAGTTCTTAATATTATAAAGAGGAATGATTTTGATTACGTAAATACGTAAGTTACGATTAAAATTAAATAGAGCGTCGGTGGCTCAGTGGTTTAAGCACTTGACTTGTAATCTACAGGTCTTGGGTTCGAATCCCGCCGCCATGTACCAATGTGATTTTCGAATTTTTATATGTACATAATTTACCCGTCGTTCTTACGGTGAAGGAAAACATCGTGATGCTTGCACATATCAGCGATTCAAAGATATGTGTGAAGTCAACCAACCCGCACTTGGCCAGCGTGGTTGACTATGGCCTAGTCACCCTAACTTTAGGGTAGGCTCCGAGCCCCTCGGTGGGGACGTATAGTGAGCTGGTGATGATGATGATGACTACTGGATCTATTATAAAGAATCTTTTACTATTAAAAAGCCATACTATTTGAGTGAGATAGCTTATATTCAATACTAGATTTATTTTTAATTCCGCTCTGACGAAGTCTCGAGCAAAAGTTAGTACAATATAAGAAGTTTTTAAGTGATTTATTTGCAATTTCATATCGAAAATATTTTTTTTTAATAAATTACAATATTCAAAGTCATGCAATGGAAGGATAAAACGTTTCTTTTTACTTTATTAGTGAATACAGATAAATAAATGTTTTTATTCTTTTATAAAAAGCCAGTGTTTCTTCAATATCGCTTTCTGACTTCATCAATTCATCCATTTACGGAGTTTATCACTAGTAATAAAGACACGCATTTAATATGTTGAATAATTAACTATTATATGTTTTTGTATCAGTGTTTCCGCAGTGGAAACGCACTGTGTACTGTGTGACATTACACTAGCGACCCTCCCCGGTTTTGCTTATTTGCAAGGACGTATTTCTCTTCTGTTATATGATAACCGTAATTAAATTTCTTGTATGGCTTAATTGAAGAAGAAAAATAATTTTCTCTTTAACCGACTTCTCAAAAGAATCCGTGATCCATCCGTCATGGATTTCTGTGTAGCCATTTTGGAGATATAGTAATAAACATCCATCCAATTTTTCATCTATATCTTCTATACATATAATAAAATTGTAGTGTCTGTTTGTAATATCAAAAGAAAAATTCCTGATTACGGGAAGATGATGTATTTGCGTTGCTGATAACGAGAAAAGTTTTTATTTTTTTTCTATCTATCTGTCTGTCTGTTCGCAAGCCACGTTTGTTCGGAGTAATCTCCAAAACGGCTGGGCTGATTTCACCCGGAGTTTCACTGGAGGATACCTGACATGGATAAGCATGTTATAGGCTACTTTTATTTAATTCCACGCTGACATAAAGACGTAATTGGTGGTCCAAATTTGCGCTAACGAAGTTTGCGGGAGGAGAGATGGATGGATTGCGTAAAAGGTGACATGTTCAAAAAGGGTGTGATGACTGAGATGACGTATGATAGAGTTATGTGGAGGACAAAAACCTGTTGCGCCGACCCTACGGGTGAAGGGTGAAGATGATGATGGTGATGAAGTTTGCGGGCGAAATCTCGTTTATAATAAGCATGAAGTGCGTTTAATAACATTTCAATTCTTTATCATTAGTATATTAATTTTATTGCACAATTGTTTACAATAATGCATTTTTATGCAATGCACTTAAACTAATTAAGTAAATGACCAGTTTTCAACATATTACATAAGGCAATCAAGGTAAGTAAACCAGTTTTGGTCGTAGGTTCTAAATTGAATTTATATATTTAAGCGTTTGTCTTTACAAAACAAACTCGGATATTCGTTAATAAAAAAATATTATTAAATCGCTGTTCCCGTGCGGCTTAGCATGACTACAAAACATTTTTTTATATTGTAAGGTGGCAAACGAGCAAACAGCCACATGAATCCTCCAAAATTGCGAAGCGACCGCTGCCCATAGACATTCGCAATAGCGGTACTTTGTCTACTCTTAATCGACGGAGGAGGAGACGCACATAAACAGGGATATTTCCTCTTCCTATGCGTCTCCTCCAATGTCAAATCCTTGTTCCCTTTCCATCCTCTTCTTATGAGCGAAGGATGGGATTGAAAAGGGACTAAATGGGCCTCGGGCACCATACTCATCGGACCAATCGCGGATTTGCTACACGGGTCGAGCCTGCCCACTCGTGCGAAGATTTTAAAGCGGGCTCTACTACTGCCTCATTAATTATTGTTTACATTTCGTAAAATTTTTAAATGCAAAAATATAAATAGTTAAATGACAATGAAGACCTTTCCTTTGACTAAAGATTACCATGGCAATCTAAGCAAGATTTTTTCTTTGCAATTGGCTTGTAGTATTTGTCCCTTTTGTTAATTCCTATAAGCAAAACTTAACTCTGTACCTTTTAAGTCTTTTGATATATTTGTTTGTAGGTTTCCTATAAGATACAAAAAAACCTAAACTAAAAAGGCATAGTAATAATAACATTTTTATGCTAATTTGTAGGTGAAAAAATTCCATAATTACAAACATGTTTGGACTAAAGGCAAATTAAGTTTAAGCAAGGATTAACTTTGAGAATGGAATTTCTTATACACCTAGGACAAGCTCGCATACCACGAATTATAAGCTAAGTTGCAATCCAATAACTTCAAGTTATATCGTCCGATTGACCGTGTGACCTGAATAACTTGTCATTTATTCTTTAAGAACCTTAAGCTTGTAAATCTCTATGAAGAATTCTTTATAATATAGAACAAAGATATTAACTAAACCGACTATAGACTATAGAGTTCTATATGCTCTATCTATATCTATACTGATGTTATAAAGAGTAATGGTTTGTATTTTTGACCGACTTCCCAAAAGAAGGAGGTTTCGTCTGTATTTATATTTTTTTGCGTGGTATAGCATATCTCCGGCCCCGAAGGACCGATTTTGAAAATTCTTTTTTTTATTTTTCTACGTATTGAAATAACTCAAAAATTGGACTGAAAATTAATTAAAAACGGCTCAACTCACGCTTTTTTCTCCGGTGACGGCACCGACTAGTTTCGGATCCTTCGGGGATCCTTCTTCAGGGCGAGTATTATTTAACTTTTGTTCGCGGTCGCGTCGTAGTCGGTGCCGTCACCGGAGGAAAAAAGCGTGAGTTGAGCCGTTTTTAATTAATTTTCGCTTGAAGTAATGTCTCACGATAGTTTAAACAATTTAATTAGTATTGGACTGGTTTCAAAAATTCTGTCACCATTAAAAAGCTACGTTATCCCTTTGTAACATAGGCCAGATTATTACTTTTTTTAATTACAAGCGGGCAAAGTCGCAAGTAACACCTTGTCTTACACAAACTGACAGTTTTAACTGTACTCGAACTGTTGGACTGTATTTTTTTTATAACATAAGGTGGCAAACGAGCAAGCGGCCACTAGAAACCGCCACAATGGCGCAGCGACCGCTGCCCATAGACATCCGTAATTGCAAATGCGTTGCCTACCCATATCCGACGGCGGAGGAGACGCTCATAAAGGGGATATTTCCCCTTCCTATGCATCTCCTCCACTGTCAAATCCACTTCCTCTACCCATCCTCTTCTTTAAAAAAAAGGTGGTAAAGAGAAAGGGACTAAAATTAGGTCTCCGGCACCACACTCACCAGACGAAACATGGAATTGCTTCCATTTCACGCCTGTCCTGTGTGGTAGTGGTATTACACCGGGCGTGCCGGCCCTGCAGTGCTAAGATGTTAAAGCGGGCACTACCACTATAAAACTGTATGACCAATGAAAGCTTTTTCATCCATAAAGTGTGGTATTTCACGCCCTGAGTTCCGTGTTATTTTTTTAGGAGGGACAAAGGTGTGGTTGGACCTGTAAGGGATCAAGGTCTGTGTGGAGCGTGCTGGGCGTTCAGTACGGTGGGTGTTATGGAGTCAATGGCGGCCATGTCGACAGGGAAATTGCAGTCTCTTAGTGTACAGGTAAGGAATTAATAACGCAATTTAGCAGGTCCCACCACTAGCTGGTAGAGGCTCAGAAAGCTTAAAATGACGTCACTGTCAAATAAGGGAACAAAATCCGATATTTCCATCGCTATTATACGTTGGATTGTTATCAGACAATTTACAATTTGGTGGGACAGGCTCTAAATTTAATTCAATGATATGTCCCTACCCACCACCCATGGCCCCACCCTTAATTCATACAAGTTATCTTCTATTAATTTGTACAAGTGGACATTTAGCCAAGAAAGATGAAATAATAAGTTGTACCAAGGGATTCTAAGCTACTCTAAATTAGAATATATTTGACCAGCGGTTGGCAAACTAAACCGAAAAGGCAAATATAACATTACAAAAATTAAGAGCCAAATCCACTTCTTTATTGTACTTTTATTACACTAAATTAAATTAATTTATTTTCAAAGTCAATAAATAATTATTAATGTGAACATTTGGAAATGTTTCCAAAGAATGTTTGAAAGGAGTGGATTCAGATATGACGGCTGATAGAGATGTATAGAAGAGCAGCACATACTGTGCCGACCCTCCATAAGGTGTAAGGGCAAGTTGATGATGATGAACATTTGGAAATGTTTGTGTACCTTAAATATCGGTGAAGCATTTTAGAATAAAATGGTTATAATGTAAGGGGAATTTACCTGCGAAAAACTTACCTTGCCAGCCGTCCAAATCATACTAATATTATATATACGAAAGTTCAGATGGATGCATGGATGTTTGTTAGAGTTTGTAGCCTAAACAGCTGAACAGATTTCGATTAAATTTGGTATAGATGTAGAGGATAGTCTGGAAGAATACATAGGCTATTCACTTTCTTTTATTTTAATACCACGCGGACGGAGTTGCGGGCGAAAGCTAGTACAAATGTAATATAAAAAAAAACATGTACGCAAAATCTATTCTATGAATGCAAATTATTGGATACTTAAGGTAATTTATTACATGTGTGATTTCAGCCAGTGTTAAATTATAAAAAATATGATATCTAATATTAATCAATAATTTGTTTGAACTTTAGAAGTTAAATTGATTGCACTTTGTGCAAAAACAAAAGGCTATCAAACAGGTTTTGAAAAAAAACTTCATCGGACTTAATTCTTTGAGCATTTTGTTCAAAATTTTGAGATGATAATATCTCATATCCGTATATTATTAAAAAAAGCAAAAAAATATATACAGACGAATTAAGCATCTTTTGGGAAGACGGTCAAGAAATGAAAATATAGAATGTAGTAGGTTTTTGCATTTACAACACACACTGATTTAAGGCAAGTTGGAGATTTTAAATTCATTTGTACTAATTTAATCTTACGGGATTTTAAAATGTGACCAACCGGTGATTTTGGTGGCTACTTTTTTGGTCTGGGTTTAGGTAGCACATTTTGGCAAAGACCTTTTTAGATCCAATTTCCACTAATCCTACAACCGTCTTAATATAGTGCGTCTCCTACGAATGTCACGTAATCGTGTAAATCAGCACTGATCCGTTTCACTAAATCACATAGTCTTGTACGATTGAGCTTCCGCTCACCAATAAAGTAGCAGCTCACGGCTCAACGCATTTATTATTGTGGAAGCTGACGAGCCGTGAGCCCGACGAGTCGTAACTTTGGCATATTATACATTTATGCAGATATAAATTGATCTGAATTGTGAGCCAGTTCACTCAACATGCGATCTGTGAATTTTGAATAGTAGATAATAATTATAAATTAAATTCATAATTGACGAACAATAATTTGTTGAGTTTTTCCCAAGGCTTTGTCGCGATAGCATTGACTCAGAAAGCACGCGTCGCGCGGTTAATGCCCAAGTGAAAATGGGTATTAACAATAACGAGTTTTGAATAGCAGGCGTAGTGCATTCGTTGACCGGTTTTAAGATTTTGTGCAGTTTTGATTGGTTTTTTGAAACTGGCACCTTCGAAGTCAATTTTTTTCTTTGCTTGTTTACATTTTAAGTACCTTATTGTGTGCCATTGAACCAAAGTTGCTTCAAAATTTACATAACTGTGCTGTTTTTAATTACTAAAGTATATATAGTATTATATATGGTTATTTTAATTAAATTACTAGTTTTCTATGCTAATATCATAAAGAGGAAATATTTGTATTTCTGTATGCATTGAAAAAACTCAAAAACTACTGGGCCGATTTCAAAAATTCTTTTACCAATAAACAACTTTTTGTGCTTATTAGGAACTAAGGGAGTCCCTTACTGTAAATGTTTGTTATTTAAACTATAGTATTTTTTTTTAAATCGTAATTGAAGGTAAATTTAAGTGTAGTAAAAAGTAAATTTCTTCTCGTTTTGATAAATGAAAACTCGATTTAATGTAGGTCAGTTGATAATTTTTGCAAAACAAGTGTGATATACGTGAATCCATTTATATTACTTTTAAATAAAAATACAACAAGAATATATTTGTGATTTGATCTGTCTAAATATTTGAATTTAATTTGCATTAGTTAATAGCGAACAGGTAATATTTATCTCATGAACTTAGAAAAATGTGGTTTATACCACGAGACCATTTATTACACGAGATAAATCTAAACATTTTATTTCAGGCTAGCTGTTCCAATGCGGCTTCATCCGCATGAAATGTCGAAATTCAAATGCACAAATGACAATTGCTTCCTTTATGTTAGCAGTAACATATGGTCTTTTTCCCACGTTAGGATTTTTATCTAAAATATTTACCCCCTAAGTTTAATGGCGTGAAGCCTAAAGCGTGACGTAAGTGTAGGGCTTATTATTAAAAAAAAGAACTATTCAAAAATATGCCGTGATTGCTGACATCTTAGGCAACAAAGAAGTGTGTGTTTACGCTTTATTATAATAGTATAGACAAATATTCCTTGATGAAGTTAATAGCGTCAGGTCAATTAATTATCAATACACTGCTCTTTAGCCTGATATAAAAAGTGTCAACGGTTTCAATGAGGATAGGACACGGTTGGGTCATCGCCCAGGGCTATGAATTACACAATCTTACAAATTTCTTAACCTCTCCAAAGCTGGCTAAAATCACAGGGCGTTAGTGCCACTAAATAGGGTACCTTATGTTTTCAGGAAGCGATAGATTGCGCTGGATTGGGTAACAGTGGGTGCGAGGGTGGTGATATCTGTCTGTTACTGGACTGGCTGATGATGACGGACACGCCAGTGCTGGCCGACAAGGAGTACCCCCTGAAGTTGCGTGATGGCATGTGTAAGGCTAATTCCACTGCGACTGGTGTGCGAGTTGATAGCTTCACTTGTAACGAGTAAGTTGGATTTATTTGTCGAGTACCAAGTAATTTGATAGCTAATATACTTTATCAATTAATATTGTAACTAGCGTTTAACTTAAATACTCAGAACCACTCATCTCGCCAAAATGGCGCGCTATTCAATACGTCTGAATGACATTGACAGCTGTCAAATAGGGACGGACGTCTATGCCGATAATCTAGTGTTGCGCCTTACAAATAAACGCGGTATACAGTTATTATATTTAAAAGTCTGTGAATTACCACTAATTTAGACTCCACCGCTATCTGTTACCTCCTGGCGAATTCCCTTGTGTTCTTTTCATATTCAATCTATAATAAGTTGGACTACGGCTCCACGGATGTTAAAAGGGTGTTATAAATTCCAGTTTTGTGGACACGGAGGATAAGATACTAGATATGATAGCGACGCACGGCCCGGTGACTGTGGCTGTCAACGCGCTCACCTGGCAGAACTATCTAGGAGGAGTTATACAGTATCATTGCAGGTATACCACTATTTACATTTCTTTCACCCGCGACTCCTCCGTGGAATTAAAAAAATAGTGAGTAGCCTATGTGTTCTTCCAGACTATCCGCTACATCTATACCAAATTTCATCGAGATCTATTCAGCAGTTTAGGCTACAAACTCTAACAAACATCCATCTAAACTTTCGCATTTATAATATTAGTTAAATGGCAAACGAGCAAGCGGCCACCTTAATTCACCGAAATGGAAAGCGACCGCTGTCCATAAACATCCGCAATTGCAGATTAGTTGCCTACCCTTTATTGACGGAGGAGGAGACGCACATAAAGAGCATCTCCTTCCCATGCGTCTCCTCCACCGTCAAATCTTTTCCTTCCCATCCTTTCCTCTTAAGAAAAAGGTGGGAAGGAAAAGGGACTAAAATTAGGCCTCTGGCACCACACTCATCAGACTACGCGGAATTGCTTCCACTTCACACCTGCCTTCTGTATGGTCGTGGTATGGGGGGCGGGGGTGAGCAGACTCATTAGTGAGAAAATGTTAAAGCGGGCTCTACCACTGTTAAAATCATACCAATATATATTAAGTTATAATTTTTAACATGTATGTACGAGACAGTGGGATACATATTAAATTCTTTAACTGTATTTTTTTTCAGCGGCGAGCCTCGTGATCTAAACCACGCTGTACAATTAATAGGTTACGATTTATCGGCGGATGTCCCACATTATATTGTAAAAAACTCTTGGGGCCAAGAGTTTGGCAATGCTGGCTATTTGAATTTGGCTATTGGCACCAATGTTTGCGGATTGGCAAACGAAGTGGCGTCAGTTGATATCAAATAATCTAAGTATGAAATAAGACTTTAATCCGTTCATATAATTCTGCATTAATGTTAAAAATATGGCAACCCTATATGAAATATGGCAACCCTATATGAAATATAGCAACCCTATATGAAATGTGGCAACCCTATGTGTTAGGTCCTCAATTCGATAGCGTCCAGTGTCACCAACAACTAACTAAAAAAATCTACTGAACTAGTTTAAAGAGAAGTACGTGAGATTTTGATTATAGTATGTTGGTAACACTTAGCCTATAAAAAAAACTCCAACGAATTAAGGGTTAAGGCATCTAGAATGAAACATTTATTATGAAGCTATTTCTCAAATATTAAACAATGTTAAGACTTTCCCTGTCATCTATTACAAGGAAAGGATGAGAAGGGAAAGAGAATGAATGGGACGCATAGATAAGGGAAATATTTCCATGCATCCCGTCCTTTGTTGATTAAAGACCCATTTGCAAATCCAGATATGGGCAATGGTGGCTTCGCTATTTTGGCGAATTCAGCCGCTTGCTCGCTTTTTATTCAGTAGTTAATAAAACAAAGTCTACCCGTCTTTGAGTGCTTACAAGTTTAAAACAATGCAATTTATATATAGTAATTCAAGAGGAAGGTTTATCTATACTAATATAAAGAGGATAGATTTGTAATGTTGTATGTATTGAAATAACTCAAAAAGTACTGGGCCGATTTTAAAAAATATAGGCCATATTTTTTACTATTCTTTTAATTTCAAGCGGGCAAAGTCGTGAGCAATAGCTAGTGTATAAAATAGTAGAGAAATACAAATAATTTTAGAGGTTTCCTAATATCATAATGAACACATTTTCGTGTCATTGGACCGGTGCGAATTTGAGGTGGGTTGCTAGTATACAAAAGGTAGGTTTTAATTTTTATTTTCATTGTAAAAGCAGACTTATTTTGTATTGTCTCTTGGGGCCTGTCCCACAAAATTATAATATGTCTGATGACAATTCAACGTGTAAAATATGTATAAATATCGGATTTTGTGACCTTATCAGACAGTGACGTCATTGTCAGCTGTCTGTATCAGCCATTGGTGGGACAGGCCCTAAGTGTTGTTAAATATGCTTCTTAAACTTTGTAGATTTTTTGTAATATAAAGTTTAGTTTGTGATGAATATAAAAAAATAATATAATTAAATTCAGTTATAAGTATTAAAAAATCACAACAATTTTAATTAAATTAAATAAATTCAATTTTGTATATTCCGGTCTCGAAATATTTTGTTATTCATAATAAAATTGTGTGTTCAAAGTGCCTTAAAATAATAAGAATGCTCATTAAACGATAATTAAGAATATTTAAGTAATAATTGTGTGTGATTAGACTAATTTTTAGCTCTCTATGCATGTTTTTTTTTGGAAATAATCAAATTGAATATGTTTTAGAGGTTATGTTAAGACGTTTATTTTTTAAATGTCCTTATTGTTATGAAAACATTTTATTATAAGCGTTATATTGTCAAAAATCTACTTTGTAGTATTTTTGAAAAATGAAGTTCTCTATGTACTGAATAAAGCAGGGGTCTCAATATTGCAATTTTATATTTCTTAAAAATTGAAAAATTAAACCGTCCATTTCTAGAAATTTTACAAAATTCATTATATTCAGTAGTTTAAAAGAACATTATTCGAATATTGAATAAATAAATATGTTGGCGTCTGAACGCATTTTATGTTTATTTAGTAATAAGAAATCCTCTCAAACTCGAATTAATTTTTCTTGCCATTTTTTTTAAACAAACTTTAATAAATCATAGACAATAATAATCATCCCAATACTTTAGTTATTTTGTGAAAAATAAACTTACTTGTATGTTGTTTTTGAAAACTGAAGTTACATTATGTTAAGATAAAAAAATAATCGAAATTTAATTTTAAGTTTTATCATAAATTGAATAATTTGACTATGTAGTCATTAAAACATTTTTAAATTTAATAACTTGATTGTTAAAACATTCCTTAGTAAAATATAGTAAAACGATTGTGTAAAATTATCACACTTTTTACTTTTATAGTCTGTTATAGTTTGACATAATACATAATCTGTAAAAATTTCGAATATTTTGTTCTTTACTTGGTAAATAATATTTAAGTGCCATTTTCTAGTTACATAACAGTCAGTCGTGTTTTTTATGCTTTTAAATAAATTGTTTATAATATTTTTGTTTTTTTTTAACCTGATCACATTTTTTTAAAGTACGTCATAGATTAAGTTATTTCGAGTCTTCACTTGCGCGCGCTTTTAAATGTCAAAAGTTTATCTATGTTCGGGTACATTAAAAAAACAAATGATAATTTGCGGTATGAAAAGTTTCCCATCATTGATTCTATATCAGATATCAAACCAATATAAATATATAACTATTGATAAGAGATATTTACGTACTAGCAATTCGACCCGACTTTTTACAAGTATTGATGAATCTCCACAATCAGGCCTATTACAATAAAGCCCTCGTTCTCTGAAGAAGAAAAAAGATAGAAACAACTATTTTTTTTTAATTTTGCGCGGACGAAGTCGTGAGCACAAGCTCTTACTTCTAACTAATATTATAATTGCAAAAGTGTAAATCAGAAATATCTACTATACAAATAGATGGATGTTATAGTTTGTAGCCTGCTAAACGGATATCGACATCATTTGGCATAGATGTAATGGATAGTCTGGAAGAACACCTAAGCTAGTTTATTAGACAGCGTCGCGAGCATAAGCTAGTTAATAATAACAAAATAAATTGGCAACTGCTATGTGGTTTCGAAATAGATATAATTATAAAGAACATAGTCGCTAACGAACGCCAATGATATGTGACTATCATAACCTATAAATTGTTTTGACAGATAACCAAACGTCAGTTGTAGATTTATCACGGTAGGGACTGCGCGCAATCGTAAGTTTCCGTTTATTGTTTAATTACTTAAAAACATTGCTTTTTATCGCAAGAGCTCTTTATAAAGATAATATAAAGAGGCCATTATAATTGTAAATGCTGATATTTTCAATTTAAATATACGATAAAATTTCAATTGTTCAGTAATTGAAGTAAAGTTACCTACGTACACTCTTTTGTAATTTTATAGCTTTGGTGTTTACAAAGTTTCGGTTTTCTGCATATTGATTGTTATGAGTACTTTTGTTGTTTTAAATACAAGTTCGATGTTGAACGTTACGTAATTTAGACAACGTTATTTATGATTCTGATAGTTAAAAGTTTAAATTATTCGTCTGTATTTAATTGTAAAATTGGACATTGGTTTTTAAAGATATGAGAATTATCTGTGAAATTATTTTTAATTTTGTTTTTTAGAATATAATCATGGTACACTTATTGGAGCAAGATTTTGGTACATTTAAAAACGAAACAGTGAAGAAGTACACATGGCAAACAAAGAGCGGATTCAAAGTTGCCGTTATTTCTTACGGCGCTACTATTCAATCTATTTTGGTGAGTATATTCATTTGAAAATAAAAAATAATTTTGAAATTTTTAAGTTTGAAAATCAAATGTTAGTCTTATAATTCCATTTTTGTACATAACTGTATCATATTTATATTTTCCATAAAGTATTTTTAACGTGTTTACGAAAAGAAGAAAGTTACCTTTAAATTAATTACCACCTTACAATTTCAAGAGATTGAATTACCACTTCAAAAGTCGACAACCGTACCTTAGTAGAAATTAATATATTCAGATTTTCAGACAAGATTTAATTATTAACAATTCTAGCTTACGCCCGCGACTCCGTTCGCGTGGAATTAAAAAAACTGTATCCTACGTGTTCTTCAAGACTATTCTCTACATTTATGCCAAATTTCATCGAAATCCGTTCAGCCGTTTAGGCTACAAACTCTAACAAACATCCATCCAAACTTTCACATTTATATTATTAAGATACTTTCTAACATATTACAGGTACCTGATAAAATAGGTGAATTAAACGATGTAGTGCTTGGATTTGACGATCTGAATGGTTACGTGGAAAGAAACACGCCGTATCTCGGAGCGACTGTTGGTAGAAGTGCCAACAGAATTAGTGACGCTAACTTTCAGATAGATGGCGTTGAATACCAACTGGCAAAGAACGTTTCAGATCACGATCATTTACACGGAGGACTGGTTGGTTTTGATAAGGTAAAATTTATTTATCCTGATAGAAATATAACAAGTTTCGTTATGAAAGTTTTCATAATTTTTTCAAGAAACTTTCTATGTACAATCGGAGAAATTGGCGGTGTTCCTTATTAGCTACATCGTTTGGATATTTTAAACAAAAATCAATACAATGCAGTTAATAAATGTGTCTGAAAGATAAAATTCGGATACTAATACTGTCTGTTTATTTAAATTATTATTCGTGTACACTCACTGCTATATAATTAGTTATTTGTAAGAAGAGTTGGAATTTGTGTTGTTGCAATGAATAAGGTATTTTTTTCTGAAATAGGACACCGCAGATTTCCGTGACTGTACATGCTACTAATGTTTATATAGCTGATATTATCTTACTAATATTATAAATGTGAAAGTTTGGATGGATGGATGAATGTTTGTTAGAGTTGAGCCTAAAAGCCTGAAATGATGTGCAAGAAATTTGGCACAGATGTTGAGGATAGTCTGGAAGAACACATAGGCTTCTCTTGTTTTTACTAATACCACGCGGACGGAGTCGCGGGCGGAAGCTAGCTTGCTATAAAGACATTTATTTCGTAACTATTTTACGAGAAGTTGGAATTTTAAAATGTGTGCAATTTCAACATCGAGTTTAAAATAAAACAATTTCAGGTTAACTGGAATTCAGTAGTAGACGGTACTAAAGTTATATTTAGTTATTTATCAAAAGACGGCGAAGAAGGTTACCCGGGAGACTTGATAACGAACGTCATTTATGACGTCACGGACGATGACGTCATACACGTCCAGTTTATATCGACAACAACAAAGAAAACGGTCATAAACCTCACGAATCATTCGTATTTCAATTTAGCAGGACATGACACTGGTGCGGAGGAAATTTACAACCATGTGATATTAATTAACGCAGATAAGTAAGTATAATAATTAAAATCTTTTTAAAATGCTTATGTCAATACTTTTTTACTGTGTTTTGCGTTAGATGGTTATTAGTGGCCATTAGTATGATAAGAGTATGGACCTTGCCTTAAAAACAGACTTATATCTAGACCTTAGTGTTTGAATCACATTTAAGTTTAAATATATGATAATTCTTTTATATCGTGTCTAGCTCGAGGCGAGGATTTTTAACAAATCATTGCTATTAAAATTTTATTAGGCGTTGGCATAATGCGATCTAAATAAAAAAAATATATAGAAAGCATTATAGAGATATTACGTAGTGCAAAATGCGACCTAGATCTAGACCAATAAAATACCTATACAGGAAAGGTAAGGACATATTTTTGATGAAACATTAAAGCATTTTGACGTCCAAATCAAGTAGCGGTCATAAGGTTAAAAAGTGTGATTCATGAAACAGCGTTTATTTTGGAGTAATACAATAACTCTGTAATTAACCAATAATTGAGTACTACAGTTTATTTATTTCATTGATTATTATCGTTATATAGATACTAGCTGTTTCCGTGCTTCTTCCCATGATAACGCATTTCACGCTGTTTTACCCAAATTTTTACCACTCTAAATTAAAAAGCGTGATAATGTGTAGCCTATAGCGTGCCGTAAGTGTAGGGCTTTAAATTAATAAATGATTTTTTTCAAAAATAAGCTGTGTTTGCTGATATCCTTAGTAAGCAAAAAGTTTGAAATTTTTCTACAGATTTTTTGGTTCTATCACTTTTTGAGACTTTCTTTTCATAAGCAAACAATTTGAAATGCTTTTTGTATGTTAATTTTTTAGTTTCATGTCACTTTCTCTAGGATAACTGAAACCACTCCATTGTCGATACCAACCGGTGGGTTCGTCAACGTCGGCGGCACTCCCTTCGATCTTCGTGTCCCGGTACGTCTCGGTGACGTCATGAAGCAAGGACAAAACTTGTTTGACGATAACTTCTGTATTAACACATATGGGAATAAGGTCAGTTGATTTTAATTTACTTTTTGTTATATTTGAACTGAAACTCTACAGTTTCGGAAATCTAGGGTGTTCCCATTCAGAAAAAAATGCCGTGTTCATTGTAACAAGACAAACAGTGGTAGTGCCCGCTTTAACATGCTAGCAGTGCAGGGCACGCCCCCAGTAATACCACGACCACACAGAAGACAGCCGTCAAATGGAAGCAATACCGTGTACAGTCTGATGAGTGTGGTGCCGGAGGCCTAATTTAAGTACCTTTCTCTTTACCACTCTTTTCTTATAAGGAGAGGTTGGGAAGAAGAAGTGGATGTGACGGTGGAGGAGATGCATAGGAAGGGGAAATATCCTCTTTATGTGCGTCTCCTCCTCCGTCGTATAAGGGTATGCAACGCATCTGCAATTGCGGATGTCTATGGGCAGCGGTCGCTTCGCCATTTTTGGCGGTTTCAGGTTTTCGCTTGCTCGTTTGCCACCTAATGTTATAAAAAAAAAAACTCCCCCTTTTCCTACAAATAACTAATAAGATAGCAGTGAGTGCAAACGAATCTATACTTCTATACTAATATAATAAATTGTAAACACACTACTTACCATAGAGGCGTAGGATATCAGCAATTACAGCATATTTTTGAATAATCATTTCTTTAAAAAAAGCCTTACACTCGAAACACGCTTTGGGCTATATGTTTTCACGCTATTAAACTTAAGAGGTAAGTAAATTGAAAAAAAACCTTGTGTAGAGGGACAATAAACTACAAGCTGCCAGGATTAAAGAAGCAAGGTTATTAGGGTAACGGTAATTTTGACATTTGCAATTGAGAATTTGACAAATGTAAACAATAAAAGTTTTTATAATATCGTGCGGACGAAGCCGCACAGGAATAGCTAGCTAGCTAGCTATAAATTAGCCGTGTATTAATTGATTTTTTTTCGTATAGACACATTTACAGGCCGCGTTGTATTGTAGCTTTTATAGTAGAACACCACCAGTTTCCTCGATTGTACAAATTATTTCCGTTGAAACTGAGAAGCTTGAGTTTTTATGCTTGCAACTTTCATAGCCCGCTATTTAGTAATTTGACTAGGTCTGTGCTGGTCGCAGTTCTTTGGTCGCTTGAATGTAGCTCCTAAAGGTCTGCGAATCCCTTTGACCTCATCACCACTTAACATAAGAATATACTTCAATAAAAAATAAGTATTAGGCCCAACAACACAGTTAACCTCCTCCTTTGTTGTGGTAAAAAAGGGGCTGTCAAAGTCTCGCCCAGAGTGCTAGTCCTAGAAATACTGGCCTAAGTCTAAATTAATTAATTTTTACTTCCTACTATTAAGGCGAAAGTTTACATGTTTCTTAGAGTTTAGAGCTAAAACGGCTGCACGGATCTTGATTAAATTTGTCATAGATGCAAAATAATGTAGAACTCACATAATACCTGCTTTTGTTTTTTTTTAAATTGACTTTTAAAAGCTAGTTAACTTATGATTAATTTATTTCTCCAAAGGATTTAAACTTCGTGTCTCGAGTAAGTCATGCTAAGTCGGGACGTTATCTAGAAGTATACAGTAACCAGGTAGGTGTTCAGCTGTATACTGCTAACTTCCTGCCGCGCCCTGATGAGGAAGCCCTGGTGGGGAAGTCAGGAGTTGGGTATAGAAGACATGGCGCCTTCTGCTTGGAGACGCAGAACTATCCTGATGCTGTACATCATCCTAATTTCCCATCTCCAGTACTGAAGCCGGGAGATATTTATAATCATAAAGTAACTTATAAATTTGGTGTTGAGAAATATAATGTACCTCAAGTTTTTAGCGCTTAGAAAGTTTTTGTTTTTTTTTTTTAATTTTTCTAATGTATTTTTTTGAATATTTTTTTTAAACTGTGCTGCACAATATATAATTATGAAGATATTTTGAGGACCATCAAGAGTCGGTTTTAATTATTTTTTAAAAATATGATTGTTATTGCCTTGTAATTGAAATGTAATTTTATGTATGAAATAAAACGAAATAAATATACTTTACAATTGTTTATTGTTTAATTCCAACGTGAAAACACCAACAAAGATTATTATTGGATATAACCCAAGTTAAATCAAAATACTTCAATATACTTCTCGGTTCTAGCTTGTTTAGAATTACCCAATGACAAGTTTTACCTTTTTTTGTACTAAATAAACAACGCGACATGTCACAAATGTATGTATTTATATCAAACTAGCTGTTGCTCGTGACTTCGTTCACGTGAAATTAAAAAATAATGTAAACTATAGCCTATACTCACTGATAACGTAGCTTTTTAACGGCGAAATAATTTTTCAAATCGGTCCAGTAGTTTTTGAGTTATTTCAATACAAAAAAAAATATATCCTCTTTATAAAATTAGTATATATATAGTTAATTAATTGCTCTATATTTAAAGACCTATTCCCACTTTAGTTATTTTTAATTCCACGCAGACGGAGTCTTGGATAAAAGCTAGTACATTAATAATAAAATCTTTTCACTATAAAAATTCCAAGCCGTTTTGGCTGTTTTGTCCATTTTGACTATTCTCTTTAATATTATCTCCCCAAGTTAGATTAAGGCTTCTCTTCATGCCGTCATCCAGCGGCGGGATGAGGGATCGCGGCAACAGGAACGTTGACAAGTTGAATAAATCCAAAAATACTTTGTAACGATCACTGAAAATGTTATTTGAGTTAATAAATATTAATGTAGAATTGGAAAGTAGTAAGCGAGCGTCGGTAGCTCAGTGGTTTGAACACTTGACTTGTAATCTACAGGTCTTGGGTTCGAATCCCGCTGTACCAATGTGTTTTTAGATTTTTCGATTTTTCATATGTACATAATTTACCCGACGAAAGAATCCCGCATTAAGAACTAGCTTTTCCCTGTGACTCCGTCCGCGTGTTATAAAAAAACAAAAGTGGGCAGCCTGTGTTCTTTCAGAATATCCTCTACATCTATACCAAATATCGAGATCTGTTCAGCCGTTTAGGCTACAAACTCTAACAAACATATATCTAAACTTTCGCATTTATAACATTAGTTTAAAAAAAGTATTCGTAATATTATAAATGCGAAAGTTTAGATGGATGTTTGTTAGAGTTTATTTAACAATGTAGAGGATAGTCTAGAAGAATACGTAGGCTATCTGCTTTTAGTTTTTATTAAACGACGCGAACGGAGTCGCGGTAAATAGCTAGTGAACACGAAAGAAAGTATGGATAATGTAAGAATTCAGACAAGGGCGGATCCAGGGGGGAGACCCCCGCTCTACAAATTTAGTAGGAGTAAAAATGTTTTGTAGAGAAAAAAAGAAATATGAACCTTGATTCCTTCTAGATTCTAGGTTGCTTCTAGGTTCTTGTAGTGTATAGAAGATATTATTAAAATCCTCAACATTCAATCAAAAGATTAAGAAATCCATAGATCACGATAAAAATCATGCTAATTATTTAAGAAAGAGAAAAGAGTAAAGGATAAGTACAGAGAGTGAGAGTGAATCATACTCACCTAAGAGTAGACCTGAGGTACTGATATCCAGAAGAACCGCCAGTTCCCAGTTGCTGGGATCCGATCATACGTTGTACCATTATGACATGGTTATCTGTACAATATCAGTATAAACTATTAAAAATAAACTGTATTTTTATACAATTTAGATCTAATAGCAACGACTGTTCTCTTAGTAATATCATAAATGCTAAAATTTTGATGTGTGGATGGTTGTTTCTTAAAGTTTGTAACCTAAAATGCTGAACGGATATTGATGAATTGATGTACATGTAGAGTATAGTCTGAAATAACACATAGTCTACTTACTTTTTTTTATATTCCACACGGACAAAGTCACGGGAAAGAGCTAGTCAAAAACGGGGCTAACCTCTAAGGAAATAAGCACTTAGAAGAAATTGTACATTTAAAAATTCCACACAAATCAACCTTGAGAATAGAAAGTTAGTGGATATCTACTGGTGTTCTATCACAACTGTGATGATGAGTACGATCACAACTGTGATGATGAGTACGTACAGCGCCACTTGGTGATGAGGCTGTCGATGTCCATGAGCAGCGTGAGCAGCTGGTGCGGCTGCGAGAAGCGCGGCTCATCGCGGTAGAATGTTATCATGATGGCACCCTGAAGAGCTCTGTGCGACAACCTGCATAGGATATGGTCATACTAAGTACACAGAAAGTCAGCTCTCATAGAGTCAGATCTGAGAAAGTCAGCTCTCAGAGTGAGTCAGTTCTTAGGGAGAGTCGGCTCTTGGAGATATTCGGCTCTTAGACGGTATAAGCTTCCGGACAGAGTTAGCTCTCAGAGAGATTGTGAGAAAAGAGTGTTGGCGACTGCCCAATCAAGAGACTTCTTGAGATCAGTAAGTTACAGGGAAATAAAAAGTCAGAACCAACAAAGAGTCATATATAGTAATACCATCAAAATCATAAAATTTAAGTCTTCTATTTTAGCGCAAATACATGACATATATATAGTCAGGGGTTTAAGCTTGACTTGTAATCTTCATATCCTGGGTTCGAATCCCGACATGTACCAGTGTGATTTTTGACATCCGAAATACATATTTACATAATTTAACTATTCTTATTATGAAGGTAAACATCATAATATATGTACATGCAAAGAAATTTCAAGATGTGAAATCAAGCAATCAACCAACAGGCACTCAGGCTAGTGGTCTATGGTCGAGTCACCCTTAGGGTAGATTCCTCTCTTAGTGTGAGCTGATGATGGTACTCACCTCCTCTCCCCGCGGGAGCGCAGCGCGTCATGCACTGAAGGGTCGAATATAGAGCGGTATATCTCCCGGCGATTCTCCGCGTCTTGGAGACGATGTTTTCGAACTACCTCATTCGGTTCAAGCTGGAAGAAATCATACTTCATAATAATATAACAAATGCAAAAGTTTAGATGGATGGATGTATGTTAGAGTTTGTAGAGAATAGTCTGGAAGAACATGCAAACTACTCATTTATGTTTTTTTTAAACACCACGCGGACGGAGTCGCTGGCGAAAGCTAGTTAAGTTATAAAACAGTACAGTATATAGAATCGCGAAACGGAAATGTGAAGTGAAAGGAAAACTTTTAAATCTATACTAGCATAAAGAGGAAAGATTTGTATTTTTTTTAACTCAAAAACTACTGAGCTGAATTAAAATATAGTAGTTCTCTACATATGAAAAGACTGTAGAAATTAGGATCAAATTCTAATTTATTCTTAAGAAATGTTCCAGGACTTTACCATCGCCTCGTCGATGTCATCTTTGATCATGGTGTCAACAGCGTTCTGGAACTTCCCCCAGAAGTTGAAACCGTGCGTGTTGAGTCCCGGCGTGCGCTCCAGCCACCGCTCTATCAACGCAAGAAGAGCTGGCTCCTCCTCTGATCTGATTGCAAAATGAACTCTTTGGAACTCAACATACGAGTCATTTACGTTTAATACCGTCTGCTTATTTATAAAGCAGTACAATTGCGTTAATATATTATGCTATAATGTGCACTTTGTCGCTCTTTCATAGATGTCTTATATATTCATGTTGTGTACACCTACTTTGTCTTAAAACCTAGTTTCTATAGTTAATTATTCTCATTTGTAATTATGTATTTAGTTTTAAGTTGTTTGGTGAACCAAATAAAATTAAAAAATCCTTCCACTTAAGGAAAAAATAGCCTTGTTGCAACGCGCGTAACTCCGTCTCATTGTCAACTTTCCCTATTCCCTAGAGGGCACAGTATCTGCTCTTCCATACATCTCTATCAGCCGTCATATCTTAATCCACTCCCTTAAGCATATCCTCATTCACAATCCATCCATACTTTCTTCAGACGAGACAAACTCCGCCTCTTCCAATTACTAATTAGGTAGCAGTGAGTGCAAACGAAAGGATAAAAAAGAAACTATCCGAATCACTAACCGAGTATTTTTCGTATAGACACATTTATATAGACATATTTTGTATAGACACATTTTGTATAGAGACATTTTGTATAGACATATTTATATAGACACATTTATATAGACACATTTTGTATAGACACATTTATATAGACAGATTTCGTATAGACACATTTCGCGTCTAGGTTCAAAGTATTCAAACGATTGTAGCTTTAAGGTGAAAGACCGACAGTTTCCCCGATTGTACATCTTTTTGTTCACCGTTTCTTACTTCCCCTAACTTCTGTTCTCTTCCTCTTTCGGTCTATTTTCATTAGCGTCTAAATTCTTTTGTCTTCTATATTTATAAAAATACATGGTTCACGTGTTATGCTTTGTAAAATGAACTGACCAGTCAAGTCAGCAGTATTGCCACACTAAACGGACTATGCCACAGTTACGGCTGACTGTTCGTTATGAGACAGTAAACACTCAATGAGAATCACTTACTTGCGTAAAGATTCCATAGCCTCAGGGTCATCGCCGAACACCGTTTGATAATTCTGGTTGTACTTAACACGAAGAGCTTGCTTTAGACCCAGCTAGAAAAAAGAACAAATATGTACTAATATAATAACGCGTAAACACACACTATGTAGTGTAGGATGTCAGCAATCACAGCCTATTTTAGAATAATCCTTTCTTTAATAAGAATGTAGGAACATTTACGACACGCTTTAGGATATATATATTCACGTTATTAAACTTAGGAGGTAAATAAATTGGAAAAAACCTTCATGTTGGAAAGGGAACATAAACTACAAGCTGCCAACATTAAGGAAGCAATGTTATTATGGTAACGTTAATTTTGACATTTGCAATTGATAATTTGACAAATGTAAACAATAAAATAAAGTTTTTATAATTTCATGCGGGTGAAGCCGCACGAGAACAGCTAGTATTGTCAGACAATAAAAACGGAGACATTTAAATAGTATATAGACGAGGCATAGAACATTTTTTCACTGGTACTGTCTTTGATAGGTACTATATCAGTTTTCAAGTTTAGTACCTCGTGTCCTTGTATTGACATGTAATTTAAAAAAAAATATAATTCTTCGCCTTTTGTAAAATAATTTAAACTTAACATTAAACTAACTAAATATCATTTAATGGTTAGTTATGATTATGCGTGGAATATTTTAAGTGAAGAGTCAACTATGCCTCCTCTATACATTTGAATCTTTTTCATTGAAACATCAGACAGTGCAATTACCTTGTTCTCTAAGAGTCGGAACTGCAAACTCTGGAAGCCGGAGGCGGGGCGGAGGTAATGTCTAAAGTCCATAAAGTCCAGTGGCGTCATCGTCTCTAATATCATCACTTGATCGACTAGCAACTGAAAATGTTATGAAGATAAGAAATAAACAAACTGAAGCTCCATAAATAAAAAAAATCGATTGTCGATTGTTTCACAGTCAATTCAACTGTTTTGCATTACTAAAAATCTAGTAGTGCACTTCCATATAAGCTCATAGATATCAAACTAAACAGTTGTGCGTTGAGTCACAAAGAAAGTAGGGCCGGCGTTAAGGTACGGTTGCTTGACCGCCAAGGGCGCTGAATAGTAGACACCATAGGTCTGTGAATTAAAGTCTCTTAGCTCTGTTTATTCATGTTACCATTATAGCCCTTTTTACTACTATCCCCTAAAAGTGATAAAAAAGGGGGCGACAGAGGTAAAAATTTCGCCCAGCACGCTGGTTTCATTAACAATTGTTAATACTGAATTGAAGGAACCTGCTTACTTACAAAAACTTTAAACTGTAAAACAGAGAGTACCATTGAATAAATTAACGCATCGTAAAGAATAATAAATTCCAGAGGGTTCGTTGCACAACATTTATGACGGAAGTCGTAAAATCCGGCTAATAAAATGGATATTTTTTCCAGAATTCTAAACATTAGAATCTCGTTATATGTAACTTTAGTGTGGGAAAAGTGTGCAAGATAAGTTTAAGGGTATTCAATGGGCGTCGCTAGATGCCCTAGGTTACGTCTAGGGAAGCTAACAGCCCCCATCTGGCGATGAACATATTATGTATCAAGATTTTAAATCTATATTATCTATATACGAGTATATAATAAAATCGAAGTGTCTGTTTGTAACAAAAGAAAAATTACAGATTTCGGAAGGATGATGTTTTTACGATGCGTATAACGAAAATCGCTTTTTTTGTCTGTCCGTCTGTCTGTCTTTATTTTTTTTGTCTCCGAAACGGCTGAGTCGATTTCGAACGCACTTTCACTGAAGGGTAGCTGACATAAACGGGCATACTATAGACTATTTTTAAAATCTCAAAATTGCGCGGACGAAGTCGCGGGCAACAGCTAGTTGAAAATATATATGTTTAATTATTAATTATTATAACTGTTACTATCTTTTAACCTTAGGTATTTGACATTAATAAAAGAATACGCATTAATTTAGGTCGTGCTACGTTTCGGAATACGTTTGACGTATGATATGGATGTCACCGTAAAATAATAAACATCGACAGTTTACCATCTAACTAACTATAGGTAGTTATTTTGAAAATTCAAATCAGTTGTAGTTGACATACATATTTGGAAAGATGATTTGTGTTTCGTCTTTTTACGATTATGATATTCACTAGGGATTTTTTTTACATTTTTCCTCAGTTGTAAGTAATGTACACAATTTAACTGTAACATGAAACCGGTGACGGGCCTCAGAGATCAGTGTGAGAGGTCACATGTCAACGCGTAATTATCAGCCTACTAGATAATTAACATCAAAACAAGATATCTTCGCTTACGAATCAAGAAACTACTGGATATGAGTCAAGGGAAATATTAAAAAAAAAACTATAAAATGGTATGGCCAGTAGCATAGCGAGGAGGGGATGGGGCATTATGCCACGGGCGTAGCTCGCAATGTGGCAATAAATGGTCAAAAAAAAAAACTGGTGAATATTTTTTGTAACTATATGGTTTTCGAACAGGGATGGGCGCGCGAAAAAAGGTATTCTACCCTGGGTGTAAGATCAAACGTTACGCGACTGTTGCCATTTCGTTGCTAACTAGAGTTTTGCCGAAATACATTTATAAAATACATTTTTATCCGGTTTAATTTAAATAAAATGGTATAGATTCATTTTTTATTACCTATAATTATATCGACAAGAGAAACTCATAGTAAACATTCCAGTTTATTATAATTCTAATGAATTATTAAAAGAAATAGCAATTTTTTTTTCAATAATACAGTCAATGTGGCCTATAATACAGGATTATTTTATATGAAACTAGCTTTCAGCTGCGACTCTGACCTCGAGGAATTAAAAAAGTAGCCCATTTGTTCTTCATCGAGATACGTTCAGCAGTTTAGGCTACAAACTCTAACAAACATCCATCTTAACTTTCGCATTTATAATATTTGTAAGATATTGTACTGTAAAGCGTATATTTAAGGCGTTTTAATCAAATAATAATCGCTTGTCAAATACAGTAAAATACGCATTTAGATGGCCTTTTGTTTTAAGTTAAAAAAACAAATTAAAAAAAAAACAAAAACTTCAATGGCGCGATTCAACCTTCACGGTCTCTGATTGGTCGCGGATGACGCAACAGTCCGTCATCACCAATCGTAGATCTTCAAATTCGACAATCTTTTTTGACGCAGCAGAAAAATAAAACAATATCGTATCGTGTTTAACGTAATTAAACGAGTTGTAACCGATACCAATGACCTGGTTAACCTTGACAAAATGCAACTATGTAGAAGTGCAATATCGAGTGTTATTTGAGTACATCGCCCTCGTGTTTATACGCGGGAATTATTTGAGCGCATCTAATTGCATTTTTTGCCATTAGATTGTCTTAGAAATCGTATTAATTGCATAAGAAGAAAGAAGAATAATTATTCTGTTGTTTTTTCATCAAATTACACAAATCTTTGATTAATTTGTTCTATAATAGTTAAGGGAAAAAGCACTTTATTTTAACGTTCTTAAGAAATATTTTGGTATAATATAGCAAGTTACCTTTAATATAAGTACAACTCTGTTGAGCCGTTTCAGAATTTCCATGGTATGCCCTTCATCCAATCCCTCAACGTCTAACAGTGAACGTACTGAATCCACCTCGAAGATAATCTGTTTGAACCACAGTTCGTAAGCTGAAAATATGGCAATAAAAATTAATCTATGGTTTGTCAAATACTAGGTTCCAACGATCTCATTTCTATCTAAAATTCCCCCTTTTTGTATCCAAGGGGAAATCTTCAAAAAGATACCCTTCCTTTTGGAGGGAAAACAGGTTTGTACCCACCAAAACCCCCTCGGCATCTATATTTCCCATTACAAAATTATTCACGGACTTTTTGTTAATATAGTAGTACTAACTCATTTGACCCGATTACTAAACTAAGTAATTTATTGGGTTCAATCAATATTTTAAAAATACACCAAGATCTTTATCAGATTATTTTCCTCTGAAGACAAGACTGTTGTGTATTATTTTTATGCCTATATCTAGGTTTTCTATATTTTCTGACCAAACTTTACACCGAACCGTCGGTCGTTCTCACTGGGTCGTATTTGTCACACATAGTTTATATCCCGGAGGTCCCCTAATTTAGGATTTACAGGTCAATTTACCTTGGTGAGTAACAATAAATAAATGTTCATCGTGCACCGGCTTCGAAGACTCAGCACTAAGCATCCGCTGCGAGGTGAGGAGCTTCTCTAACATCAGGTACTCTCCGTACAGCATACCCGCCTCGTTGCCGAGGTGGCTGCCATCTTGGGCGCCTGAATCGTCCATTACTGACCTATGCGAGAAATTAAAATATTACAAATCTAATCTTACTAATTATAAAAGCAAAAGTTGGATGTTTGTAGCCTAAACTGCTGAACGAATTTCCATGAAATTTGGCTTAGATGTAGAGGATAGTCTGGAAGACCACATAGGATATATACTTTTATTCTCAACGCGGGCGGAGTCGCAGGCAAAAGTTTTTAACTAGCTAAGAAATTACTACAAATCTGTTTGATGTAAAGCTTAACAAAGATACACGAAATTAAATCTGATCTTAATAACAAAATACTTTCTAGCCAAAACAAATAATAATTAACATCCACCAATGTCATCAAGTTTCCTTGCGAGTTCATTTTAGTACGTCAATATCGTAGTGGCATTGAATGTTTTTTTAGGAATGTATAACCCCGACAGTGACATTTCGGAAAAGGATACGAATCTTATGCCCACTTCATACGCACAGTGCTAACAGAGACTTGCGCCCTGGGCAAGATTTCTACGGCGCCCAATCTCATGAAAAAGGCGCCCTTTTATGCGTATGAGGTGCCTCTTTAACTGTGGGTCCCCTTTATGGGCTTTTGGCGCCCCTTTTATGTGCGGCGCCCTGGGCTGTCGCCCCACATTGGCCTGCCCTAACGCCTGTATTGTTAAAACATGATACATCTCGTCATTCCGACCAAAAAAATATTACGGATTAGTCAATTGGTACCTACTCTACATTACGTACGTAAAAGCGAGGCCCTCCTGCGGTGTTAAGGTATTTGGAATTAATTTCATTTGTAAAAACGTAAGCAGCCGGTTTTTACAAACAAGATACGCTAACACGCATCAATAAATATTTGTATTCAATGACAGTACAACCTGCTTGAGGTAAGTTGCAATTTGGTTCCGTACGTGGATTTGGTAAAGTACGAATAAAGTACAAACGTATTATTATGGTATATAATTGTTTTTTATAAATAGATATATAGTCATTTAAATTGGAGAAAATAGAAAATATCATAGAATAAATAAATCCGAACAGCTACAATAGGAAAAGGACTTTTGACCTTTTTGGCATAGTGAGAAGAGCGCTAGTGTGCTATCATAATTTAGTTAAACCTATGCGTACCGGGTCAGGTAACTTGTAGTTCTATACTGGGCATTTTCGTTATTTGGTGAAATGTACATTTAGATAGTTGAGAAGCGGTTAAGATATGTTAAATAGATATGTTTACATAAAAACACCTATGTAAGTATTTGATACGATTATTAATGTTTCCAATGTTCGAAAGAGAAGTGTATTGACATATAATTTCGCTAGTGTTGAATAACGTATTTGCAAACAGGTTTACACTGAAATTGTTACGTAAATTCTAAACAATGTAAACACTTTCTCTTTTTATCAATATATGTGTTAAACTAGCTTTACTTTTGTCTCCGACTACATTCAAATTAAAAAAAACTTAATAAGTGTTCTTCCATAATTTATTCTACATTTCTGTGTCTTTCATCGAGATCCGTTTAGCCGTTGTGGAGATATGTAATTACAAACAAACATATCAATAATAGTAAGTTATTAGGGTAAAAATTGTATTTTTAATCCGCGCGGAAGGACGCTGGAGGTACATTCGTTCAAAAATCATGTCACATGTGTACTTGGAGGTAATATTATTTACTCGTGTGTTCAATGAACTGGTTTTTTCACACGACAGCTTTTCAACCACGTGCCAAATGAGTATGTGTAATAAATGTGATTATCATATTTATTGGACTTCAGCCGAATACTGAAACGCGTATCCGAGAAATGTTAATGGAATTTGGAATTAAACCATGATATTATCTTATAATTTAAGTCACGGTTACATTTATTTAAATGTGGTTTCACTAGTCGATCGTTATTTTTTTTAATAGTGTTTAAGACTTGACTATAGAAATGTGATATTTTATACACACGGTAGCTTAATAAATATTTTTAAGACCTACAATATTACTAAAATACCACAAATTTTATTTTCTTATTCGTTTTCATTACAACAGCTCATTCCATTTGCTAACATCTGCTTTTTTTTTAAAAGAATAATATGGTAACTGACAATGGAATGCCAATACGTTATCCAGATGTTTTTTTTTTAATTTACCTTGCAAAAGATATTTAAAAATTATGATAATGAGAATTTTCAAATTCAACACTTAAATAGTAAATAGTTTTAAGTTGTTTGAGTACTAAAAAATTAAAAACGCATCTTTTAAATATTTCCACTTTCTTTTTTATATTTAGTCGAGGCTGTAGTAAAACATTCCTCAGTAACATCCGATAAAATGAATGTATTAAAAATTTTATTTAACCACCATCGTGAAATATTAATAGTATTTTTTATCAAGAGGAATAATTTAACAAAATAAAAATAAAGGAAAAAACTCACCTCATTGGGCAGGCCATTTTGTATCTGGAAATGCGACAAATAAAAAAAAGAAATAACTAATTCCAAATTTGAAATAAACACGCGGCACGGAATCTGCGTTCGCGCTCTCTCGGCGCGCGGTTAATTGATACTGGCATGCAACTGGCATGACGCGATGAGGTTTCGATTTCATCATTCGCCTCTTGCTCGATTTACTCTGCCGTAACGTTTATGGAATGCGCAAGATAAGCAAAATATTTAATTTAAGGCTGTTACATTACCATACATTAACATTTTGCTAAAAAAATAGTTAGGTAGGTAGGTATAAAAATAATAAATCACGCCTTTAACCCATAGACTAAACATTTCTTTTTATTGACTAAGAATTGAAAACTTTTCACGCTCTTAGATCAGATTTAAATATTATTGAGTTTCTCTACAGTATTTTACGTTAAATTAGCAAGAGTTTGACCACGAACCCACCAGAAAATATTGAATTGTATGAGAACTGAACTTTTCTATCAAGTTATCAAGGTCTTATCTAGTTAAAGCCTAGTTTACTCTTTTAATTTTCATCGGAAATTATGGCATACGCGTAACATTTCCTTGACAAGCTTTTAATCAGTATTTCTTTCGTTGATGTATAATCATATGCAATATTTGTTACATATTGCCTAAGCGATCGAGATCTGACGTCATAAAAACACTATACGAAATCACTCTCATCAATATTTATATATTTATATGACGGAAAACCGAATGAAAATGAATAATCTGCTAAACATTCGGGTATAATGGAATTTATTTGTCCCCCAAATCCTACATGTGTGTACTCTAACACTAATGCATCAAATTACAAGTTTGAGGTATCATAAATATTTTTTTCTTATGTTAAATTTCGGCCTAGCGATTAATAAAATTAAGATATTTTTCCATTGAGCCGAATAAATCCATAGAAACGATCGGTCGAAAAAAGTTTGAATAGAATGAAACTGGCTTTATTGAAATTCCCGCCTTAGACCATTTCGTACATGAAAACTTCAAGTGTCATTTTGAAGTTAAATGTCATGATAGCTTTATTGTCATTTTTTAATGTCAAACATTTTTGTTTTCTCGCTAAATACACCAAAATAAATTGCAATAGATTTAAAATAAACTAAACAATAAAAGTGCAAGATTTAATAACTGTGAAGTATGTTTTCTTCGTCAAAAATTTTAAGGTGAGTACAAATTAATCTATTATGAAACTGAGCGTGGAAAAAGCATAATATATTTCTAGTCGTTAGTTTTCCTAGCCCCCGGTGGTAATGATGTAATTGAAATGTTTTTTCTAAGATTAAACGCATTTTTAACAAAAATTAAATTCTTATCTTGTCTATGGTAAATTGTGGTCTTGTCTTATTGACATTTGCTGGATATTTACTTCAATATTTAGCAACGCACTTTGAGCAGTCGATAATTACAGGATATATTGATATAGAACGTAATTAAAATAGCGCTTATTAATCTGCAAACCGGAAATATAAAAGTAAGTACATCTTATTGCGAATCCTCTGAATCTCTGGTTTTATTATAGTAAGTGGGTGGTATCGAGCCTTTTGTTTTTGTTGTTAGTCATTAAAAATATCAGCGAGTATACCTAAACAAATAAGATATTGATCCAATAAGTGTTTATCGTTAATGTGCGGTATGTAATTAATTTTAATCATTATAAAAATTGTATGATCTTCAAAAGCTTTGAATGACATCAGTTTTTAGTCATGAAAAACAGACGAATCAACGAGTATATAAAATTGATAAATCGTTCAGGAAATTTAACTTTATTTTACTATATAAATATATAACATACTATTTGTTAGTTTATAAAAGTAATTTTTTTATATCAAATAGGTACATCTGTTATTTTGTAACTCCTAATGAGTAGTTATCTTATCTTTAACAACTTTTATTTGATATCTTAGTTGGTAACTTATTTGTTCTAGTTAACAAAATAATTTTCAATTATTTTTATAAAGTAATCATCAGAAAAACATTGCTTCAAAAGTTTATGTTATTGTAATTATTCACTTTAAAAATTGGGCAATCCTCTCTCTATTTTTATTTCTCAGTTTTTTTGAAACAAACTTTATAAATTGAAAAAAAAAAATTATAAATTAAACTTATTAAGTATTTTTTTTTATAACATAGGTGGCAAATGAGCAAGCGGCCACTTGAATCCGCCAAAATGGCGAAGGGACCGCTGCCCATAGACATCTGCAATTGCAGATGCGTTGCCTACCCTTATACGACGGAGGAGGAGACGCACATAAAGAGGATATTTCCCCTTCCTATGCATCTCCTCCACTGTCAAATCCACTTCCCCTTCCCATCCTCTCCTTATAAGAAAAGGGTGATAAATAGAAAGGGACTTAAATTAGGCCTCCAGCACCACACTCATCGGACGAAACACGGAATTGCTTCCATTTCACGCCTGTCTTCTGTGTGGTTGTGGTATTACACCGGGCGTGCCGGCAACTATAATTTGTATTTAGTCAATTCTCCTTAGAATCTAACTATTATATAACTTTTAACCGACATGGTTTTTATATTTTATTTGTAACCACTTGTGATTTGAGTTAACAAGATTCTAATGTATTTAACAGAGTAATGGGGCAGACGTTGTCGGAGCCGATCACAGAGAAGCAGTCATCGACATGCCAGGACTCGAGGTACCTTGTCGGTTCCTCCTGCATGCAAGGTTGGAGGGTCTCTATGGATGATTCGCATACACATATACTGTCGCTGCCGGATGACCCTGGTACCGCTTTCTTTGCTGTTTACGATGGCCATGGTGGTAAGTGGAATTTCTTATCCCTGTAATATTTATCTGTCTATAGTAATATTATAAAGAGGAAAGATATTTTTGTATGTTTTTTTTAAATTGATTTGGTTGAAAAGTAATTTATCTGTGTTTTTTATTTAATTTCACGCAAAGTTGCAAGCAACAGCTAGTACTTTATATAAGTGTTTAGGTGCAGTGTTGCAAACACTAAAGGTGTTTTTAAATTGTTTTTATCTGTAAATATAGTTGATTTTAATTATACTCTCATTAATGTTCTAAGAATACAAGGTTAATTGCACAGATAAATACGGCAAAAACTTTAGAGGTTATAATGATTAGTGGAATAATGATTATTATTTCGTTGTATTTAGGACTTTTTTGTACTATTAGATTGTGTTATTAGGGGCAAATATAGCAGAGTATGCGGGCAAGCATCTACACAAATACATCACTAATCGTCCAGAATATCATCTTGGTAATGTTGAAGAAGCACTGAAACAGGTAAAAATATTTCATTGTATGTAACATATTTCAGGGGTCGTGAACCTTTTTTTAATGTCCTCTTTATGTGCGTCTCCTACGTCAATTAAGGGTAGGCAATGCATCTGCAATTGCAGATGTTTATGGGCAGTGGTCGCTTACCATTTTGGTGGATTCGGTGGCTGCTTGCTTGTTTGCCACCTTATATTACATTAAAAAAAATGTTATATGTGGTGATACGAGAGATGTACCATCAAATTTTTTTGATAGAATACTTATTTCATATTTTTTTTTTCTTCGTACATAAAGATTTTTGGGATCATTAACGTGCCGAAAATATTTTCCCTTTAAGACATGCATACCATTTGTTCACAACCTCTGACTTAGGGTTTGAAGTGAATGTAAGAATTTACACTTTTATTATATTTAGAGTTGCCTTTATTTTTTATTACTGGGAGAATTGCCTTACAAATAAACAATTAACCAGTTACCTGCTACCTAGTTACTAAATCACACCAGCCAGCGACGCTCTTTACTAAATATATTCACAATAAAGATACAAACTTTACAGGCTTCCTGCAAGAATTTGATGCTGAATAGGCTTGACTATTAATATAGTAAACATAATATTTTGACCTTAGACAACTTTTATGTTCATATACATGAAAGGAATATTTCATTCATTCTCTAATACCCATTTTATTTATTTATTTATTTTTGTCTCTCAATAAATTACCTTTTTCTGTATATACAAAAAATTGACACATCTCCGACCTAAGTTATTGCAGCATTGTTCACATGAAAATATTAATCAAAGTTTTGTTTGTTTTCTTTTGTGACAGGGGTTCCTGGACCTTGACCAGGCGATGCTGGAAGAAGACCTGCTGCAGGAGAAGGTGGCTGGTAGCACAGCTGTGGTAGTGCTTATTAAAGACAATGTAGTCTATTGCGCCAATGTTGGTGATTCACGAGCTATCGCCAGTGTCAAAGGAACGGTGAGTGAAATTTGTTACCAGATTAAATATATATTAACCACAAATTGTAATTATCTTTTAGTTGGTATAACTGTTATTGTAATTGTTAATCTCTTGTTTTTCAGTAAAATTATTTATGTTTCTATTTCTATTTAAGTGGGAAAATCGTCTCTTAATAAAAATTAAGCCTTACAATAAAAATCTTAGTGTTTGAAATACATTATAGCTTAAATATATGTCTTTTTTTTTTTTATAAGAGAAGGGGGCAAACGAGCGGCGGGAACA